GTTAATTCTGCCCCCTCTGCCCTATGGCAAGAGGGTACTGGGTTTACAGACTGAATCGGGGGATTCTTTGAGTGGCTTTCCTGGGAAGACTGCAGAACGCAGCTCCACCAGTCTATTTCTTTTTCACATTCCCTGATGACCCTCAGCCTTTCTACCTCCTCCTTTAGCTCCGCCATCAGGCAGAGCAGGTTGTCTACCTGCTCACACCTAAGGCAGGCTGTGTTTTCGCCACTCCCCGGTAACATGGAGAGGCTCAGGCATTCCCCACAGCCAGAAACCTGGACTGCTGCATTTTTCTGTGGCGGTTCAGTCCGTGTCGCCACAGTCTTCCTGGAGGAAGCTCTCTGCCGAGTGGAGACCATGGCTTTGCCTGATCTCCTGTTGCTGGAAGAGTCTGGGGAGAGCAAAATTAAGCCCATTGGGCTGAGTTTTTATTTTAGAAATCACGTATAGGCTGTGAGGAATTCATTAATGCTGTGAAATATCTCCAGAAATTACTCATTGTGAAATATTTTTTAATAGCATGTTTAATTTATAATAGAGAAGGATATAAAAGATTCAGAGAAAATGGGGAATGTTTACTTTTACACTAAATGCAAGTTGTTACATTCTTTTTCAAACAGGTATATATTAATTATCTTTTAATTGCATTTGACTATAGAAGGCAGGGAAAATTGTATGGATAATAATGCCAAAAAAGGACATTTCACATTTATTCACATTTATTATGCCTAAATAGTTCTGTCTTCACTGTTATCAATGGGAATCATGTCTATAATCACTTGACAGCTTCACTGTTGATTTTTTTTTTAAAAAAAGTGTGAAGTAGCTGTAAACATTTCTATTTTTTTTCCTGGCACCTATATATATTTTTTTTCCACAGATATTTTCAAGTGGACATTAGATTGCATTCTGTCATGGAAGTGAAAAAAATTAAGGGTATTTTAAGAGGGGAAGAATACTTAGCATTAATTACTGAAGAAAAACTTCTATGTTAAAAAACAACTATACAGCTAAAAAATAACAGAGATTAAGTGTCCTTGCATAAAAAGAATAGAAAACTATAGAAAACTTAGTAATTTAATAGGTAAAAGCTATGTATCAAGCTATTTGAAAACTGCTTGACTGGTGTTGCTATTTATCTGAACAGTCATGTGTAATGAAAAGCAAAGATGCATGTTGGCATAAGGATTACTCAAGAAGGCTAAATAGAAATCAGATGAGCAGTTACAAGGTTGACTCTTGCAAGCGGTTATGTTGCCCTTGAGCATGATGAATGGTATCGAGTGATGTTTGTATATAAACAGTATCACCTTAACGACACTCTGTTTGGTAGCTGTAATTTTCAGCTCCTAATCTATAGACAGCAATTTCTGGTGCTTAGAAACCTCTAGTATCTAAGGTCGTCAAATTCAATTTTTAAGGGATTTAAATATGCAATAGAATTTATTTTTAAAAATAGGTTTAAGCTTAATAGTTGCTGGCATTTTAGGTCTATAATTTCTAGGTGTTTTTTAGCATTCCTACAGATGAGGAATGGAACAAATAGGAATGAAAGGTTGGAGGAGGAGTGTTAAATTATGAATAGAGAGGCATACACCATGTTTTAAGGCTTATTGATTAAAAACAGTACCTGAGGCTCATGTTGAATACTGAAATGTTTAGAGCTGGAAGAAAGCAACTTTGGAAACAGAGCATTGGCCGAGTTCTAAAGGTAAGGAAAGCTGAATTTAGGACTACATCCAGGCTAGTAACTCTATAGCTGGTTTGAAGGCTTCAGTTAAAAAAGAGTGTTTTTAAAATGATATAAATAGGTGATATTGGTTTCGTATAAAATTCTACTTTTATAAAAATGGATAAACTATTCCCTTTGCAGCACAAAATAATATTTGGAACAAGCATTTGTTGTAAGATGTAGTTTTACATCTTTACATCTTTAGTCTTGTAAAGTTAGTCTTAGTTACATGATATGTTTTGAAAGATAAGTTTGCCCAGGGAGACACTTTATGTACTTAGCTACGCGCGTTTAAATCTTGCCCGGATTGTTGCAGTGGTCTGGTAATGGTGCAATTTCACAAATGTTTTCCTGGCACAAGTGAAGAGTTTGTGGCTGGATTTGGCAACAAAACAGACATAAGCTTTTCTACCAAGCAAAATTTAAGTGTACGTTCACTCTTACAAAACTTGTAAAATGGGAATTTTGTACATACAACATAATATTGAGAAACAATAGCAAAGCCTAGAAGCCGTTAAGAGTCTTAATTCAGAATAGAAAGTTGGTCATTTGAATTAACTGTTCTTGTTTTAACCCACTGTCAGTTGAGTAACTAATAAGTCCTGAGTTAGAGGTGACTCCTCTATCCTGTGTGAGTTTTTTTTTTTTTTTTTTTTTTTTGAGAGGAGGGAAGAATATGTTTGCTTGTTGACATTCAAGGTTCTTGGAAAGTGTAGTAGAATGACTTACAGTAAACAGAGAAATCCAGTGCAATACTTGTGCAATATAAAGCATGTTAATAGGTTAGAGGAGAGATGACTATCGTGTTGGCTAAGTATGTTTCTGATATGACAGTAAATTGACAATAGACTAGGTGACTTTTTCCACTATTGAACTTCCTAGTAAAGTTCAAGTATAATAACTGTCCAGAAGACCTTGAGCTGAGCATGTGTAAATTCAATAGTGCATCTGGCATAATTTGTTGGTTTAAGCTGTATTCAGAAATAGGTTTCAGCTTGTGCTGAGAGAGCCCCCACACTAGAAAGCATTTATACTAGCTCTGAATATTGTAGCTTTTTAAGAAAGGTAATGTGGAAGGACTCTTAATTTTCCAGTTTCTTAACTATGAATCATCAAGTTATGGGACGTCCTTCTTTTGTAGGTGAAAAGCAAGCTCTGCAGCCACATCACCTACTATACTGTGTAGTGGAGAAGTTGATAATAGCTATGAATGTCTTGTTTCTGAGGTTCTGGCATCAAAAGAAAGACTGTTGACATCTGATCTTTTGTTACTTGCTGCCTAATAAATATATTAATATATGCTATTCAATAATTAGGAAACACTTTAACACATTTGTCTCTTTTGATTGTTGCTGTTATTGTTATGCTTAAGTGAGTGCTGGCTTGCTTAACATTTAAGAAACTTAATCTTCTCTTTGTTCTGGTTGAGGAGCTACAGCTGAGGAGCTGAAATCAGTTTGCTGTGATAAATGTAACACAGTTAAATGGGCTTTTGTCTGAACAGAGCATTTGCAGTGAGATTTTATGTTTTGTTTATGCAATAGACTTAATTTAGGCTTGTGTAACTAAAGCAAGTTATGCCTAGGACTGATCATTAAAAAATTACTTTTCAGTTAATTAGTTTAAGACTTGCATTTGTGGAAATTTGACATGTGGCTTTTCTAATCTGCTTTTTTTAATGAACTTGAGGGGAAAAAACAACAAAATGAAAAATGGCTGTGCGACTGTTTTTAAAATGAACTGAGGTAAACCTATGCTAAATAATAACTTGGACACCCCTTCTGGGCACCTAAGTGAAAAATAATTTATTTCTTGTAAATGACTGTCCACCTGGATCTGCCTGTGTACAGGAACATTATAAGGACCTGGATTAGAGGTGCTAGAGGATATCCCCTCCTAGGGTTTGTGTGAACGGATTACCACACGTACCAACAGTTCCTCTTTTAGAGAAAGAAAAGATAGTTTAAGCTTTGTAGCAAGGCTTCTATTTTCAAACCTTACTCTCACAGAGTTCTCTAAGAAGAGATGTTCTCTTAGTTCCTCTTACAGAAACTGCTTGTTTGCTAGAGGTGATGTTTCAGGGCATGCATTTCTGTAGTGAAAGCTGAAGGCTATAAAATAGAAACAGATTCCTAGGGCTCCAGCTGCTGTTTTGGAGCAAGATGGAAGAACAGTCGTGTTTAAGATTATTTTTATTCCAAAGACTGAATTTGGAAAACACAGACTACTGAATTTATTCATTTAGATTCTGATTGATAAAACTAGATTGAGTGTCTGAAAGCCTGAAATACACCCTGATGTATAAGGAATAAGGAAGGAAGGAAATCCAGAGTAGAAATCTATTTGCACCTTTTGCTCATTGATGCCTAGCCCTTAAAGATGAAAAGAGAGAGAGGAAGAAAGCTCTATGTTTTAATGCGATTTATACCCTAAGCTCATTATGAGTGAAGAATATCTTAAGAATAACTTTTAAATTCTTTAAAACATAGAAAAAAGGAAACTGCTGTTTTCATCAGCATATTGCAACAAGGGCCTTGACCTGTTAGCACATTTGGTGATAATTCTGAGAAAAGTGGTGTGATTTTCAAGTGCATTTTGGACAGCAAAGAAATTTCTTACCATGATAGACCAGTATGATTGAGCTGCTCCTTGCTTGTGTAATCTATTCTTAAACTTAAAAAGAGAAATCAAAGCATGTTTCTGGCAAATGAACCTTTCTCTATTGGTGCTGAAAAGGAGTCACTGATGCGTGTTTTGAACCTTGTGAGCCTAATAGCAGCTCTATAAAAGCAAGTTTGATCCCTGAAGTACCTCATTGGACTGTCCCAACATACAGTTATAGAAAGGTATAAGGATGTAAAAGGATGATTTCTGAAATGCAGTTCATGTGCAGTTGACAGGTGGAAACTGAACATTTGCAGGCCAAGTGAGTTCATATTGCTTAGTGTGAGAGTCCAACACTCTGAACAGATTCTTTCACATATTCCACACAAGGAGAGTATAATGTTTAATATTGAATTAAGTTATCTGAAGATATTTGATGTTATATGGATTTCTTATTCAGCAGAGTGGTATAGCAAAAATGCTGTAATCAAAATATATGCATAAATTACACTTAACAAAATATAGGAATTACAGTATACAGTTGAATGACAATACAAATGTGATTCCCATTGCCAGTCTTTACAACGTCCTCACTGTCATGATTGAATGTATAAATTTAATATTTAATCAGCCAAATGTCTCTTAACACATTTAAGAAATGTCTAATTGCTCTTAACCTGGACTTTTGAAATGATAGTGCACTTCAGCAAGATGAAGGGTGGGTGTTAAGCATCCAAAAACTCTCTGTTGAATGTCGATGCAGTGTTTAATAGTGCTGAGCTTGGTTGTAAACAAGTGGATTAACTAGAGTATAAGGAGATTTCTGCACTGCTCAGGAAGAGGATGCCTCTTATTGTGAATGAAAACTGTATTTTGTGTTAAAAGACCAAATGTTTTTTCCTGTTGTATTGATATATAACTGCTCTGGTATCAGTTAATTATAAAGCCTTGAAGAACAGGCTAGGGAACTTCAGTGAGGTTAACAGATGTGAAATAAAAGATGCCTAAATTTAACCAGTGCCTGGAGAAACATGTAAACAACTTGGGGAGGCAGGGGGAAGTCTGTTAGCCAAGAGCATAAATGGTAGAGTTGACAAGATTGGAAAAATCCAGCACAAGGCTATGAAGAGGGTTTAGGGGACTGAAGCATCTCCCATCTGAAGAAAAGCTGAGAGAGCTGGGCCCGATAAGCCTGGAGAAGAGAAGACTGAGAGGGATCTTATCAGCATATACAAATATCTTAACGGAGTGTGTCAAGAGGATGGGACCAAACTATTTTCAGTGGTAGCCAGCAATAAGACAAGAGGCAACTGCCATAACTGAAACACAGGAAGTTCCATCTGCATATGAGGAGTAGCAGAGCACTGGAACAGGTTGCCCAGAGAGGTTGTGGAGTCTTCTTCTCTGGAAATGCTCAGAACCCTCCTGGACATGATCCTGTGCAATGTGCTCTAGGTGACCTTGCTTGGAGAAAGGGGTTGGACTAGGCTGATCTTCAAAGATTCCTTTCAATCTGAATCATTCTGTGATTCTGTGAATGCTCTTATCGCTGGTCTTAGGCATCAAATACTGCCTTGTTCTATGTGACCAGCCATAGAGAATAACTGAACAGATAACTGGGATTCAAGACACTAAAATGTGAAGAATTGGGAACCATTAAAATGACTGAAGCAGACATAGGATATGATTACCTAGTTTGAGAAGAGGATGCATATGATTTCAGCTTGTATTAACTGGCAAGTTGTAGGAGGAATGGAAACTATGAACATTTCAATGTTCTTTTGGAATTAGATGCTGAAAACTGTTGTAAGATGAATTCCTTGTCTTGCAATATATATGGAGGTCTACCTTGGAAACACAGCAAATGCAAAAATAGGTAATGTCAATATACTTTTTCTGAAATAAAAAGAGCTTTTAACTGGACTAAATAGAAGCTATCTAACTGATAGTGGTCATATTTTTTCCTATTAAAGATACATTGCTGGTTATCCTCGAATTACTGAAATAATAAAGCACATTAGATTTTTAGGATTCTGGAATTACCCTCTGGTGTGAAGCCCACCCATCTAGAAAAAGTTGCCTATATATCTAATTAGAGGGAAAAATTCTACCCTGTCTTAAGAACATGCGGGAATGGCTAATCCCATCATGATATTTTGCCTCTGAGGAAGTGAAGACTGTCTTTGGGGATGGTAGAACTAAAATTGCATAAAGTGCATTTACAAATTAATCTTTTACTTTATATCTGTGTAAAGAACATGATTTGTATGCCTTTACTTAACATGAAAAGAAATTCCAGTGCATTCAGCACATGTGTAAACATACTAGTTACTTACAAGTTTATAAAATACATGAAAATTCCTTCAGAAGTTACATAAGGTATAAAGTAAATCCTTTTGGCAAGTCCTATTGGCTCAGCAGAAACCTGTGGATAAATCACTTGTGTACTTCATAGAGTTACCAGATTTTTTCATAATCACTGGGGAAATAAAGATTGCATTTACACCAGTGAAACATAATTCTAAATTTCTTTTGAAAATGAAGTGATATTAAATTTTGTAATCTAAAAGCACAATAGTGCTGGTAACTACTCCAGAAGGCTATTCTGTCTATAATGTAATGAGATGTTTTACATATGGGAATTCAATTCAATTAGAAAAGAAACCATACTGCTTTGAGAATGGTATAATAGCTGAAGGTAAGCAAATTTGTAAACACTTGTGTACCTTGAGGCTTGTTGCTTTACTTCTTAATATGTTAAAAAGCTAATGAATAAATTCCCAACTTCTTCCAGTAGCACGTCTGTCTTGACTGGGGAACACTTACATTATCTCACATGAGCAACATGGGTCAGATTCTTGCGTAGATTTGATGGTTATATGTGAATAGGCTGAAAAGTTAGGACTAATGGCCTGAGGAGTTGAAGATGACTGTGCCGGAAAGGAGGAATCCTGCATATAAAATCTGTCTCTTTTTCTAGAGACACTTTCAATGAATAAACACAACTGTATAAAAAGCTTGTTGATGGAAACTTTGTGCTAAATTTGATAATGGAACATAGGAAATCAACTGTAAAATTTTAGTATGAGTTGCTTTTAAAAATTTTATTTGATCACATTTAGAAATATAAATCATAAGTATGGAAAATGTAATGTGTTTTTTTCTAAATAGTTTTTAAAGTGTTCCTTGTTCTTCAAAATAAAGTATCAGTTATTCATTTTTTCCTTTGTGTTTTATAACAGCAAAAGCTCAAGGAGGAAAGAGAAGCTAAACGTGCACAGCTGGATGGCAGGCATGATTATTTACTGGATACTGTTGCCTCTTGTGTGAATCTGGACAGAGCAGAAGTGGAAGATGCTATCCTTGAGGGTAACCAGGTAATCTGATGCATTTTCTAGGTGAAGCTGATAGGGTGCTTTAGAACTGATATTACCACCAAATACTTTGTGACACAATTGCCACACTTCATATTTTTGCATATTGAAATTAGTCTTCCTTCTCGGGGAAAAATATTTCCCACCATTTTGCAAGGTGAACAAAAGTCCTCTACCATGTTTGAGGCCCTGTTTGTAATAATATGGATTTTGAAATTAATTAGAATTTCTGCATTCAAATGGCTATAGATCTTGCGTTGAACCTGTGATTATATTTCATATTGCATGTATAGCATGAAGTCTTTCAAACTTTGTATGTGTAACGCAATCAAAAAAGAGTCCTGTCTGCACCAGGATGCAAATTAATTCCTCTTATTTTCATTATGCTGCCAGCGTTCAGGAGACTCTATATTTTGAAGTAGTTTAGAGAGTTGAATCACTTCCCTAGTCCTTCTGGCTACACTGTTCCTGATACAAGCCAGGAGGCTGTTGTCCTTGGCCACCTGAGCAACTGCTGGCTTGTGTTCAGCAGTCGACCAAAACACCCAAATCCTTTTCAATTACTTTTCAATCACATTAAATACTTTAATGTGGTCTCAAACAGATAGAGCGCATCGACAGATTCTTGGCAACTGGAGGTCTGCATCATCTGATGTTCTACTATCAAGATGTGGAGGCAACTGATACTGGTGAGGTAACAGCTTTTCCTGCAGTGTGTTAAGAGTTTTGTGTGCAAGCAGGCAAAGGCAAAACAAATGATTAAGTTTTTTTATAAACTAGAGTTTAAGGCAAGTCAAGCTTGCTCATAATCGGTATCTGGCACTTGTTTATGAAATGAGGGCGGATGAAACAAGTCACTCCCTCCCAGTCGCACCAGTAGTTTATTCTTGGAATTCTGGTCCCTGTCCTGACCTTGGCTTCTCTGCCATTATTGCGGGTCTTGCTGATGTTGTGACATAGCTGCACCCTGGGTGAGCTCAGGGTTTCCAGGAATGCTCGCTGGGAGCGCGCCCCAGCTTCCCACCCCCTAAGTAACTGAAGGGTCCTTATACTTGTATGCCTGTGTAAATATGCAAGTTTTTGTATATATGTAAAAACAGACCAGTATCGTTATATATTTATACATGTTTGTGCACAGATATACTTATCTATGCTTTGCATATTTTTATATATATGTATGTGTCTATATACACTCCTAAAAGGAAAAAGAAGATTATTTAATAAGATATGACCAACTTGAATAAAATGTAAACATACATGAAATTATACAAATAGTGAAAAGAAAATACAGACTCAAGGACCACTAGTGTAGAAACCTGCTGAGTGAGTGTTGACATGCCTGGGGAAGGTCTGATTTGAAGAAGTGGAAGGGTAATTGAGAGGTTGTGAGGCGGTGAATGTAACAAGAGTCCACCTTATTCAGCCCAAACTGCTCAGGTGACCCCAACACATCCTTGTGTTACTTTTGGTCTTGGTGCTGTGCCACAAGATGCAGGCAACATGGAACTCAAGGACAAACTCACGGCAGCTCGTCCATGAGTTCAATAGGCAAAAGCTCCAAAAGGTCACGCCACCAAAAGAAGTGAATATTGCTCTGGTGGTTAAGAAGCAGAAGACAGAGGTGAGTGTGAGATGAAGAGCGTGTGCTGGAGGCTGCCTTTGCCCACAGCTGTGAGTGAGTGTGCAGTTACTTCTAGTACTATCACAGCATGTGGCTATACGCTTTTCTTCTTAGGAGATTTGGGGCTATGCAATGAGGAGAAGGACACATATTTGTTAATTTAGATGAGTTATGGCTTTACAGACCTTAAACTTCTGTGCAGTATGCAGATCGTTCACTAGATTTCGAAATCTGGTGATTATATTCAGCATGGTCTTAATGCTATAGGCATATGTGGCTCTTTATTTTATTTTATCCTAGGTAACTTTTTTTTTTTTTTTTTTTACAATTTTACCATAAATCAAAAATCTGAATTGTTTAGATCCTAATTCCCAGTATTAGGTGCGTAAGTTAGTGGCAGGAGGAAAAAATGAAGTTCTTAGCCTGCCATATGGCTGTTTCAGATGTAGATCTTTGACCTACAAGAAGAATTGTTACTGTTGACAGCAAGATGTGAAAAATTTCAGAGATGACAGCATATTATAAAGAAAATAATACAGGAGTGAAGACTCATTGCACATTCTATGAAAAAAAAGATGATAAAATTGTGAGAATGGGTTACTGTACTGATCTGTTTCGTGTGTTACACTGGCCTGCGTTTACTTGGCTATGTAGCTGATCGTGTTCCTCAAACATAAGTCTGTTGTGCTATTCCTCTTCCTTTCTGGCAATTGTCCCAGAAACAGGTTGTCTTGATTGCTGCTGTGGCTGCCAACATGTTTGCTTAACACTTTCAGTCCCACCCCTTTAATGGTATTTAGTGCTGTTTCTGAGCCAAGCCCCTTCACATCCCAAATGCACTCCAGCTGCTATCTGCCTGTTCTTCAAAAACAGCAAGGCATAGCTAATAACCACTTTACAACCCCATGTTGCTGTTGAGCTCATCAAACAAGTCTTTGTTGTTTCACCTTATTTTTCACACTCACACTGCTCCACAAAAGCCTTTTTGAAAAAAATAGAGTTCCAAGAGTTCAGTCTTGCTGCTCTCTGTCCTCACAGCCTAAATAACCAACACCATCTGGAGTGGCTAGTTCCTCCTGCGTTTCTGTGTTTGGTAGAGGTAGCAGTTCCTGCTCTGGCTTTGAGGGTCAGTCCTTCGTAACAAGTGGCTGCCTAAGTACAGGTGCCAGTGGGAATTCATCGGACCCATGGCATCTCCAGCAGTAACATTGGACCCATCAGCTTTTACAGTGTTGCAGCAAAGAGGTTCAGATATGTAGGTCTGTTCATTCCCAGCTAAAGTCATTCAGTACTGCCTCTGCAATAGCCAAAAGTGAAGGAACCTCAATGAACAGGATTTTTTCAATGGTGGTCTGGTTTAGGGGAATGTCACAGAATCACAGAATGGTTGAGGTTGGAAGGGACCTCCAGAGACCATCTAGTCCAACCCCCCTGCTCAAGCAGGGACACCTGGAGCATGTGGCACAGGGTGGCATCCAGGCGGTTTTGAAACTCCCCAAAGAAAGAGACTCCACAACCTCTCTGGGCAGCCAGTTCCAGGGCTCTGTCACCCTCAGGAAAGAAATTATTCCTCATGGAGATTAAACTTCCTGTGTTTTAATGTACAACTTACCCCAAACAAAGCCATCTTGGACCTGGTGCATTTACCTAAGCAGCTGTGAGTAAAAGTCATCTGGAAAAGGCAACTATCCTTTTCCTTTTAAAGGATGGGATGATATTTCCCTTCTGGAGTGTGACATCTCAGTATTTTTCTTAAAGCTCACTCTTTGCATATGGATGAGACTTGAACCCTCCTGAATTCTCAGTGTTTCCAATATGTCCAGAATGGTCTTGGATTTTTTTTTTTTTTTGCAATGTTTTGAGTGGCACTTTTTGAAGCTGAAAGTTTTCCTCCCCCCATTTCAAAAGTTATATGTCTACTTTAAAGAAGCTGTCAAATGTGCCACCTAGTCCAGCTCTACACATCATAGCAAGGCCCTATAAATTGGCATGAATTTTGCTAGCCTGACCTTCATAATTGTTGAAAAACATAGATGAGTCCCTGCCATTCTTCATTACTGACTTCTTGATGTACTTCCTTAAAATAACAGAGACGTCTGAGAATGCAGGTATAGCTTGACAATCACCTTCACATGATGAAAGGAGATATGGTCAATCTCATGTCATCTGGACAATCTTTCTTTCACTGCTTAATATGTTATTGTGCTGTCAGATTCACATTCAAAGTCTCACTGTTGCTATTTTGACCTGGAATGTGGCATGATGATGGGACCAGTTTAAATCAAATGCACACACATTTTTCATGCATTTGCAGCTGGAAGTGTTCGTGTTCTCAGGTCTGACAGGTATGAGGAAACTGTGTCTATAGTTCTTTACAAAACTCCTCTAACATGCTGATGAAGCAAAAGATGCTTCATACTTTGTTATCTGCACATCCTGGAATGTTCTGCCATGGAGGCTTTTACTTCACCATTAGTAGCAAACTGGTGAATGCTATATGGCTTAAACAGATTGTTTAAAGATTGTTCAAAATTCTTTTTCCTGGTCTCTCTATTATTTCTAGGGTGTGTGTTCCCTGATTTAGAAGAAAAAAAAAAAACTTTTAAAAAGCTCTAGTTATCTCAGAGCCAGTGTTGCCTTTGAGACTTGCAGCTCAGGCATATTTGGATAAAATGTTTGTCACTGTCAAGATGTGCTTAACCCCTCAGTTATCTTTGGAAGACTCTTTTATATCCACCAAATCTGCCTGCTTGGTGAGTGAGTAGATCTCTTGAGTAGGCACACAAGCTTTGCCCCTTATCCTACACTCACTCCAACTTACTCTTGTTCCAGCCATGCTGGCTTGTTCATGCCCCCTCCAACACACTCACTTCCCCTCGTGTATGGTTATATGTCTATAAAGATATATATATATTTGTGAATATATGTATATTAGTATGAATATTATATATATCTATATTTAAAATGTTCACATGTTCACATACATATGAAGGCTCTTAATATATGTCTGGGCTAACCTCTGTAGGAAGTGTGGTAAGACAGGGGATTTGTTGAGGCAGAGGTGACACAAAAAGAGGTGAGGGGAAGGAACTTTTTGGATGTGATCCCAAACAGGGGTATCCAGGGCAGATGGTCTTGTAGCTGAAAGAAGGGGCATGTATTCTTTAAATACTGATAGTTTGTTTTTTCACCTTGTTTCAATGGTTTGTAAATATCTGCTTTATTTGAACCCACAGAACATCTTGGCCTTCCAGGAACAGAAATTAATTTGCATTTTCCAAAGAGAAAGAAATCTAAAGTATTCGTGACGGAAGGAAAAGAAGTTGCTTTAATTGGTATATGTGTCGTCTTCATTAGATCTAATCCCTTGAAGCCCATCACAAGTGAGAATATTTATCTGGTAAGAGTTAGTTGCTACTGATTGCTGTTCCTGATCTTGTTTAAAATTGATTTACATCTTGGGGAATTTGCTATCAGCAAGTAATTTGATACTTTTGCCATGACAGAATGAGCATAAGGACACAGTTTGGCTAAATGAAATATGTAAGAAAAAAGGAGAGGTCAAGTGGGGAAACTGACACTGTTGTTCAGTGCCAGCAACTAGAAGTATAAATTGTGACCATTTCTGTGGCTATATTTATACATTATATAAAGTTTTTACTAATGAAAGGCTCCTTAAATCTGGGGCAATCTGATATGAACAGAGCTGGATCAAGTGCAGTGTATGTCTAACACCTGTAAGCATAGAATAAAATGTAGAGGACTCTATATTAAGTAGGAAAATTAATCAGAATGATGAGATAATTTAATGCTGTGAATTTAGTGAGAGAATAAGGTACTAACTTATTCCAACTTCTTCAGGAAAATCTTAAAAAGTGAATGTTGCCCATATGGGCCATAACGACAAGAAAAAAGGCTAGGTGAGGCGGCTGTCACAACCACGCTTTTGTGTGATTTCTATTTCATCTTTAATTATCAGATGAGGATTATTAACGTCTTTACCCTATTATATTAAGGTCATATCTTATTAGTAATGCTTGCAGGCTGGTAATCACAGCTGAAAGATGTGCAGCAAAATGCTTCAGAAGCAATGATATATCCTTTGTTAACTGATGGTAAATAATGCCTTAAAATTAGGAAAGACAAGTTGAAAGATAAAAATATTCATTGCCGAATCAACATACTGTATAGTAGTTGACACCTGAACATTTCACAATATGTGTTAGTGCAGACTTTTTATTTGAACGTTGAATTATTATAAATTCCTCAGTTACTGAAAACATTTATAATGTATAGTATTTACATGCAGGTTGTCTAGCATTAAATTATGTTGCTGAAAAAAAACTTGTGATACTCTCTAATGAAGTAAAATTGGCTGAGAGATTAATGTATTTTAAATTACAAAATCTTCAGTCTGTTTCAAAATGACTAAAAGCAAATATTCTATGAGTTGTTATCTCTCCAATTGGAGAAGATGTTCTTCCTGAGCCAAAAGTTTTGGGAAACTGGAAGTCAGAGTCAACTCTAGTTCATAATTCTGTTGGTATCTAAGGCTTTTGATTGCAATGATCTATGCCTGGACAATCTAAACATAAATTTATCATTAACAAAAAATATCCTGATAACTATAAAAGCAGCAAAATGGAATCCTTTTCCTCATCTAAGTAAACTGTATTTTAGAAACAGTGATCTCTTATGCTCCAATTCAATTTTGGAAGTGTTTTCAGACTTTTAATTCCTCAGTTTTGAATGTCAAATTGTCGCCCTGTGCAACTCTGCTGTCCCAGGGTCAGCGGTAGCTGATTCAGTTGCAACACTTGTAGAGATGCTTCCTAATTCCTCCGCGCTTTAATATTTTGAGGACTGAATTCTTGCAGGCCCTGCTATCAAGAATTGGGTTGTTATTGCTTGAAGCAGTAGGGCAGCGTAGTAGGTCTAGAATAAGCACCTGATGGTAAATTTAAATTTTCCATTTTAACATGCATTTCTTTTTCAGGAAGTGAGTTTTCATATGATGGATATAGGTCAAGACGGCTTACTGAAAAGTGTTGAGCAATTGATATCAGAAATCTTCATTCCTGCCTTACGAACTATGGAACATGGCTGGGGTGAACTTGGTAAAGCTCAACAAGCTTCCAGTGCTAAGCAGGAGTTCCTCGGTTCCCTTGAAGCTTTTGTTAGTGTGTTATCAGTGGCTCAGCAAAGTTTGCTGGAAAAGGTAACATGGCACATATGGTAACTAAGAACTAAGTTAGCTCTAAAATGTCTTGTGTCCTGGAGCTTTTGAGCTAGTTGCTGTCACAGAACAGTAATAAAAATATCTTGTTAAACTGCAGAAGAAATAACACTTTTAGATATTGTTTGCTGTCATTGTTAATTTGTTATTTTTTAACATCTGTGAAAGTTCTCCAGCTGCTTCTGTTTTTCTTTCTTCTGATGTCAGTTCTTTTGAACTGTTGCTTCTTTACTCACATCTGCTTTTGTAAACCAGGAATGATACCGCAGACATGTAAGTTTTTTTCTGTATCAAGTGCTTTAACTATTAAGCGTGGATAAGCATTCAGGAAGGGTTGTGCTTCAGTTGCCACAAAGCAAAATTCCTAAGCCAGTGAATTCTTCAGATTCTGGAATCTTGTTCTGACCAGCTTGATTAAATTGATGTGGGAATATGAAGCAATATGCCCCAAGAGGGCACTTTTTGAAGTTCCTAGATTATTTGTTTACATTTGTTACAAACATTTCAGTGCTTTTTTTTTTCTTCTTTTTTTCTTTTTAAATATGTTTTCAGGTGAATCTTAAGCAATGTGAAAGTTATGATCTGAAAACTCTAAGAGGACCCTCAGATTATCTGATGGTTGCTAACAGCACAGAAACTCTTGAAAAAGTAGAAATCTGCATGAAAGTGTGGACCAAACAGATTGAACAGGTGATTTAATGATTGTCTGATGTATGACTACAGGCTATTAAATGCATATTGGCAGATGCTGAGTTGACATATGCTACTTGTGTGTAGAGATAGTTGTGATGGATAACTGTATTTTAAATTACTGTTGATATGTTTCGTGTGCTTTTACTTCTAAAATGTGTATATTCTAGAGAATTTCTTCCATCTTATTAATAAATGTAGTGTATACAGGTATTTGGAAAACTAATTCCCTGTTCTTGTTTGTGGTATCATCTAAAGAGAACTCGGTGCACTTGTTGAGCCTCTTCCTGTGGTTTTGTAGAATCATATCTTAAGGTTAGTTTACTTGTTTAAAATGCAGGTAAAATTAAAAATGCCAGTTAATTTTGTGATTGGATTTTTTTTTTGTCTCAGAAGCAGGTCTTCTAGTCTATAAAACAGCCTTTAGAGTATTCTTTTTATGAGAAAGCAAAACAATCAGTTGAGTTATTGCATACAGTTAATGTCAGGGTTCTGTGTTTTGTGTATCAGTTCAAAAGCAATTCATTCAAGGTAAAGCATAGCAACTTAAGAAATATGTTTTTGTAATGTTTAAGTAGGCTTTAAAAACAGGGCAATAATTTGAAAAATGGAAATTTAGATGCTTTCTGATTTTTTTTTTGCTTGTAAAAAAAAATATTGCCAAGATTTTATCAGAGGAATGTTCTTGTTTTCCAATTAAGAAATTGGCTCCATGAAAGAACTTTATTTATTAAGGCCTATACCTCTCAAAAAGAAGAAACAAAATTAGAAAATGTAACTCCATTTTATTTACAGATACATGTGGTGAAGCTGGTGGGCAAAATTTGTCAGAATGAACTCTCTGTGTACCAAAAGATTTGCTCTGCTTTCTAGCAATACTAACCTACTGCCAAATAGAAAATCATCAAAACCTTTCTTAAAACAAGAAAGACATTTAGTCTAGTGCATGCAAATACCACTGAAGGATTTCTCTTTTCTTGTTGTGAGATATTCTTTTTTTTGGCTAAAGATGGCTATTATAATTTATATTCTTTCTTGGGATTGCATTACAGGCTTAGAAATTTTAGTACCAAGCTACAGACTTTTGGACTTGCTCACATGAACTGGAGGAAGAAGGGAATTTTTTTTCTTTTTGAGTTGACAATAATTTTTTTTCTTCTTTGTGAGAAGCAGGGAACACTTTTTTTGATTGAAGTGTTCATAGCTATTTTTATTCCTTTTAGTAAAGGAAAACCTTAACAAATGGCAAGGTTGACATCAGAGGACTTTATTATCCCTTACTGCCATGAGGGATAGGAGCAAGCTGGGGCATATTTACAGTTAAGCTTAGAATTCTTTATTGTCACGTAATAATTCTGTGTTCATGTCTTGTTCTTCAAGGGATTTGAATTTTGTCTTGTCTCTTATAAGCATGGCCTGTATCACTGTTTGTAAACGTGATATTCTCCATCCTCCATCTCCATCCATGGCAGATTATCGTAGGAACCACCGTTTCATTTTGGAGTCAGATTAAAGGTCCTTTTAACCCAGTATCATCTCTCTGGAAATGGGCAAAAGTGAATGCTGGGTAATAGTATAAGCAGAGTAAACAGATAGCAGTACTTCCCCTCAATATTCTTCCAGCCTCCAATGATTTGTATTTCAGGGATTTTGAGAGACAGGTTTTATTTATTTATTTATTTGAATTGAGTAACACTCTGGTTTTCTTTTCAACATAAACATGTCCAATGTCCACTTCAGCTTAACAGAAAAGAAGCAGAGTACGTAACAACTTTGCAGATTCAATATATTTTTAGTGGCTGTTGAGCACAGAGATGATTTTTTCACAGCAGTATCTATCGTAACACCGAGATCTTGCTCCTGCATGAATCAGCTCAAAGCTTATCACGATGTACAAGAATATTTTTTTTAGCTTTGTTTATCCGTTTCAGTCTACGTTGAATTTAATCCCCCAGCTCAGTCATTGAGTACCAAAATCTTTCTACAGTTCTTGACTCAGCCTTCATCCCCTTCTCTAATATTGTCAGTGAATTTCGCTGTTTGCTTCCTTTGTAACAGTTACGGTTATTTTGAGAAGCACAGGTCTGAGCATGTGTTCTAGCACATGTTGCTGTGGAACACTGCTGATGACCTTCTTCCACAGTGAAAACCAACCACTTACTGTTATCCTTGGCCTGTCTTTTAGTTGATTATATATCAGTGGATAGATTTTCCCACACAGCACAGCTGCTAAGTTACCCGGACAGTTTTTATTGAATATCTGCCTTTTCCAAGAGTTTATCAAGATGTAGCAAGGGGTTGAAGGAAGGCAAGCCAGGAGCTGAGGGGAGTAACATGGTCCTGGCTGGCAAGGCCTCTGTCCTGACATCCAAGTCCTACAGGACCCCATGAAAGTGAGCAAGGCAGGCCCAGTGACAGTGGCCAGGCCCAACGAAAATTCCAGATCACAAGGCAATACTCTGGTGGTGAGATGGGTTCCAGGTCAAGCTATAAAGTCAATCCACAGGATTAGGTTAGGATCAGGCTGCTGGTCAGGTCTACAGTGATGCTGCAGCGCCAAGGTCAAGCTGGGAAATAGTTCTGTGGGGTGCAGTCTGCATTGGTAGGGTCTGTGGCCAGGCAGGACATGGCTGTGGCTGAACTGGAGATGGTAACTCCCGTCATGTCCCTGGGGCAGGGACTGATAGCCCTAAGAAGCCACCCAGGAGAGCGTGGTCCCAGCCATGGAGATCTAGTTGTGCCCTCAAGACCCTGTCAGTGTTTACTGATCACTTCAAAGACCCCTGGGAGATTTCTGAGATAGGGCTTTTCCCAAATTGGTCCTTTCTCAGTTGCTGTTGGTCTATCTTCCTTTTGAATGCTGAACCTATATAAAACACATGGATAGCTGTTAGCCACAAAGAAAGTGAGGGGGCCTCTGCAGTTTGGTAATAAAAATATTTCAATGCACCTTACCCACTTTACAGTGAGAAGCTGAACATACCAAGCTGATGAAAGAGATAAAGAAGCCTCCTCAGTAATTTGAAATGCAACTGAAGCTAGCTTAATCCTCAACACTGGAGTGATGCATTTCAAAATAGTAAAAGCCTAGTTCATCTTAAAGTATTTTTTTATTATTTCTCTTTTTGGAATTAATTTATGGAATTAATGACTCAAGCTTTCACATTTACTCTTCTTATAGATCTGCAACTAATTTTTTTTGCTTTGTTGTGACTAAAGTGTTGTAGAACATTATGTGGAAGCCATTACAACAGGTTTTTTTCAGTTAATATTATGTTTATCAACAGTGGAAAGCAAAATTAAAGCAATTTACATTTGCGAATATTGTGTTAGAGTATAGTAGCCGGTTGCTGGAAGTCTGATTATCCACTCATAGGATATTCTTCTTCATATTGGCATATCTTGACATCCACCGAGTTCCATGGGTCCATATTGGGTCAGGTAAAGCATTCTATTATGGTTACTGAAGCAGTTATCTGGTACCTCATATAACAAATTAGTGGTTTTTTTTCCTTTTTTTAATAGAAGATTAATATTCTATAAAAGATTAATCTCAGACAAGAATGCAAATAAATTAAGTTTGAAAACAGTCTGTGATTTTAGTGGGTTTAAAGAAAGCAAAAGGAATGAAGTAATTCAGTGAATGCTGTTCTTAATTGGAAAAATCACACTTTGAAACCTGCCTTGTAGGTTATATACAAAAAATTTAAATGTCTGTAACAGCGCTGTTCAAGTATTCCTTCTAAGTCAAAGCTAAAAAGGCTAAACAGTATTAAACACTCTAATTATGTGAAGTAGTGGGCGAGTTAGGTAATTTTTTGCAGACGGTAAATACTGGTAGTTAAGCTGGAGTTAATATGGCTGCCATCCAAGCAGATAAAAAAAATAGCATCAGCTACTAATATTCAATCACTAATGTTACTATTATTATTATTATTGTTATTATTATTAAAGGTTCTTGCAGAAAATGATCAACTGAGAAAGGAAGCTGATGACCTTGGACCTCGAGCAGAGCTTGATTACTGGAAAAAAAGATTGTCTAAATTCAACTACCTTATGGACCAGCTGAAGAGCCCAGATGTGAAGGCAGTGCTTGGAGTACTCGCCGCTGCTAAATCCAAACTACTGAAGGTCCTGTTTTGAAAGAATATGTATATATATATATAAAGGCTAGAAATGTTCTTTATAGCATAGCTCATTTTGGTAATGTATAAAATATGGCTAGTGAGCAAAATATTGAAGTCTCTTAAACTCCTATTTTCTCCTTCCTTCACTATTCCTCACCTTGACTAGGTAAGACTCAACTCTGTTTCAATTTCCTGGAAATGTCTTTTGTCTAAAAGCAGATAAAATGCCCTATATCCATAGGTTCAACAGAAATAGGCACTTATAAATCTTTGAAAAGTTCATTATTAAATGAAAGAATTGATTCAATACACTGGATAGTTATTGGAAACAAAATGAAAAACAATTTTTAATATCATTCTGATATGGTATCTGTCAAAAAATATTATTTGCTGGACCATAACTTCTTAACACTGACATAACAAAGCTAAAGGGCCATCCAAAATAGAAAAATAACTGAATAAAACATGAAGATAATTTCTATGCCCATTTCATTCAGGTACTGTCTTTTTTTTTGGCCCAACATAATTATCCTGTTGTGTAATATGCAACTTGATTTTTCTCTCATAGCAATTTACCTATCTAAACTCCTTTGCAACAAAGGAGTTACTTTCCTGTATTTGTGGCTGCTATACTGGATATTGATTTAGTGGATGCTGTGACAGCTATTTGCTCCTAGCCATTCTCTTCCCTTTCCCATAGTAGCTGGTATCTCATAAATACTACTTAGGAGATGAAGTTTTATGAAAAAGTACTCTTGAGCACTGTAAGGTGCTAAATATATACAAGTGATACTCTGGCAAGATAATTTGCTTTTAGAAATGCTCTGTACATTCCTTACTGAGCAGGAAAGGAAGAAAAATTCTAGGTTCATCAAACTGAAAGATGTGTGAAATGAATACATGCTTATAATTCATCAGTCCATCCTGCAAAATGAATTTGAACTGACGATGGGTGACTATATGCTTAATAGCAACTTGATTGGTATTACTACTGGCATAATATATTTTGCTAAGTAGCCTAACAGTATGTTTGCAGCCATGTTATGGATGCAAAACAAGAACCCGTTCTTCATCTTGGCTAAATGAATGTAACTTTGAAGAAAAAGGAAGAAGAAAAAAGGGTGGTCTCAAAATATTTTAGATAAAACAGTTTTCCTGAAATGTGTTTATTTTGTTTTGCTTATTTGTTTTCCAACTTTCCATTCTTAGAATTGGCAAGTGCTGGATATTCGCATCACAGATGCAGCAAATGAAGCTAAAGATAATGTGAAGTATCTATACACTCTGGAAAAATGTTGTGACCCATTATATAATAGTGACCCTGTAAGTAAAACTCTTGAATCCTGTAATGGAATCTTCAAAGAACTGAACTGAATGGACTTTGCAGTTTGGAGGCTAAGTTTAGAAATGATATAGTTAGATAGCATTTTAGGTACCCTTCTCCAGTTTGAGACTTTGTTCAGTTATGCTGGAAGAGGCCTAATGATAATTTGTGGCTTTATATTATTGAACTATTTCTGTCCTTTACCTGAGGTGTTCATGCAGCTTTCATTTTGATGACCAAACTTAATTTTGTGCTATGGAAACGACAGAAATATTTATTATTATTATTTAAAGAGGAAGGTGAGTCTAGTACTATGCTAAAGGTTGGATTTTTCTCTTTGTGTTAGTAGCGAGCCCAACAGTGGTCTCAGCAACCATGTCTCATGTGGTGTGTGCGCTCTGTATCTATTTACTGGAGAGCATTAAAACAATATGTTGTTTCACTGTTTCCCGATCTGTTGTTTGAGTCTCATTGATGAAAAGTTAGCATGATGCAGATTCAAAGAAGAACCAGAGTTCTTCAGAGAAAGAATCGTTCAGGACTAGTTCAACTTTATATGCATTGTGGGCCCAGAACTGGCTTTTAGCAAAGAAGAACTGGCCTTTTAGCAAAGAAGGTAGCTTCAGAGAGGTTTAGATTTGAGAAGGAGCATCAAGATGGCAGGGTATTGTAAGCCACTGAAATATGGAGCATGAGCATTTTCCCTTAGAGATATTTGCCTACAAAGTGTTGAAAAGTAGTTTATCAGTAAAGTTGTCATTGCTTTTGAAATGCAGACATCAGAAGGAGCTGCCTGAAAGATCCAGCCCATTAAAGGTCTGAAGACAGGACTGGTGGGATTTTTAAATGACTGTTGTGTTCAAAGTGTTTAGCAAAAGGCATCTCTTCTACATGATTCTTACTGAAACCCCCGTAGGAAATAGAGAATAAAATCGGGCTGTCACCGGACATTTGATGTGAGTGTCATGAGGTTTATTGCAAAGTTTGGGCTCTCTGTATCAAAATTTATGCCAATTTTAGTATAAGAGTATGAAAACATGTTTTTAGTCAAAATAAGATACCTTTATCTCTTTCAAATTCTGATTATTTATTAGAATTCTTTCAGTTAAACCTTTGGTGAAAGCAGTTCCCCTAAATTGAACTTGTGCTTGGAAAATGAAGTAGAATGGAGTGTTCTACAAGGGATGCCCAGGGAAAAAGAGGCAGAAACAGTAGAAAGGTCATGTTTATAATACTCATGGTTTCCCTACATAGGTGTCTAGCTAGTGTATGTTTAAAACAAATATTGAGCTAAGTTCAAAGACTGTGTTTCTTTCCAGGTGTCCATGGTATCTGCTATTCCAGATCTTATGTATGCAATTAAAATGATTTACAGTATCTCACAGTATTACAATACCTCTGAAAACTTATCCTCACTCTTTGTGAAGGTGAGTGCATTCAGCACGAAAGTAAATTTTCACAAAACTTGGTTTGATTTTTAGTGAAACAGCAAATAGAGAGGGACTAAGCAGATGAAAAGGAAGCACTTTGGTCAATTTAACATTGCTTTTTGAATGTATTGAGCATTGGAAATAATGATAAAACTTTTTCAAAGGCAGACCTAATTTTACTATGTATAATTTGGAATTATAAGAATTTGTTCAAATTTCTTGAAGATCAGGGCTAATCTCAACTAATATGAATAACTTGTTTTCTTACAATGAGTTTTGCCTGTGTTGAGCTGGGGTTTATAGAACTAGTTATGTTAAGGTATTATAGTCCTTAAAGCCTCTTATGATTGCATAGAGGTAGGGATTGGAGGATCTTTTATAAGATTTTTTTAATAACTCTAATTATCTTTCTCTATATTTCATTTTCCTTCTTTCTACCTTTGCTTTTGGAAGTGTCAAAAGTTATGATTTTGAAGTACTGAATATCATTTTAAGGTTGTTCTGAGTTTCTTAGGTTGAGGATAATTAATTGATGGCAATATGGCAGTAGGTCAGGGTGCAGGTTGGGTGCTGCAAGGAGAACTGTCCATCTGTGTGTGTTGTATTTGGTATTGGTATTTTGCAAGCTTTGAGTCAGTTGAGACAAATATGAGATGAGACTGAGGAGAAGGATAAGATTTGCTTTAACTTGTAACCTTTATTTCATAAGATTAAAATTGCTTTTAGGTGACCAATCAGTTGATTACAGCATGCAAATCTTACATTACAAACAATGGTACTGCCACCATTTGGAATCAACCTCAGAAAAGAGTTTTGGAAAAGCTACGAGCAGCCATTAGACTTAAACAGGTAGGTTGATCATACAAAAAAACCCTGCAGAAATATAAGGTAAGATTTAGGTAGGCGTAGTAAGGAAAAGTTTTTATTGTGTATGAGGAAGAAGTAACCAAAGAAATACCCATTGGAACTAGAGTGATTATTTTAGAGCCAAGAGAGTATTTAATTCAGTGTTTTCAGTGTCAGTAATTCATTTTATTCGGGAAACAGCCTACATGCTTCATATATGAGATTTCCTTGGATTTTCATGCCTTTTTCTAGAAGGTTTCTTCTGTGATGGTGATAGATGTGTGGTAGAAATCAAAAGAGGGGGACTCACTGGGCTGAGTATAGTCCAAAGATATGTGGACAGCATATAGTTTTAGAATGAGTAATGTAGACAAAGGAGAATTTAGCTGTTCAGTTCTTAAAGGTTTGATGGGAAGATAGTGCTAACATTTCCCAAAACTGCTTCAGCATGCACTTTCTTTAGCATTTCAGGAATTCCCCTCTCTGCCTGCATTGGAACATAGGATCACAGGTGTTTAGCATAATTCAGGTTGGAAGGGGCCTTTGGAGGTATCTAGTCTAACCTGCTCAAAGCAGAATCAGTTATGAGGTCAAACCAAGTTGTCCAGGGTTTTATCCAGTCCTATCCTCAAAAGCTTCGAAGATGGAGGCCGCACAACCTCTTTGGTTAACCATTTCACTGCTGGCTGTCCATAGGGTAAACATGTTTCTCCTTACTTCCAATCACAACTCCTTCTGTTTCGTGTCCTCCATGCGCTGCTCTCAATCTTCCATAGTTCTTGTGCAAATTAAGGTAAATTTATAAAGCAGTTTCTTACCGTCAGCAACAAGCAGTAAGGTTATATTTCTATAAAGGTAACATTTACTTTTGAATTACAGCATTAAAATGTATTTAAGGACTATTTTTTATTTGAGTCTTCATAATATGCAAAAATGTTTAGAAAATCAATTTAAATTAAAACTTTGAATCACCATCACGCTAGGAAGCTCTGGGCCCTTTGTATTAATATCTTCAAGTAAATTTATTGAGATATATATGTAAATGAAAGGAATTAAGTTTGCAATTTAAAGAGAACTACTCTTGAGAGAAACCATTTCAAGGAAATGTGGTGACTTTGTAATCTGAGTTTGGGAAGAATTCACTCTTAACATGTTTAGAGTAAAGTTTGCCACAATTAACAAATCAGAAAATAAGGAGGAAACTGCTATGGATAAGTATTCCAAAAAGTGATTTCAGAAAGTATTATTACTGAGTGGAACTACTTAGCACACAATCATTCTTTTCAGTCTTTGAAAACTGAAATCTGGGTAGTCATCTTAGATAGTCTGGAAGTGCATTTTTCAAGCCCTGCTACAAAATGCCATTGCAGGAAAGAGAATTTCGCAATAGCGAAGAGTGGAATATGCAAATGTGTGTATTCTGTTTATACATATGACAAAATACTGATTGCATAAAGGTGTTTTTGACTTACTTTTCAGACATTAATTCTATTAATGTCTTTTTGTAGTTTGCATGCTTATTAATCAAACTTCTATTTGATATCCAGTTAAAGATGATCACAGTTTTGTTATAGCCAGTAATCTTTACTGCATGCTTGATGTTCCTCTTTTAAATTGTTTTTTATATTTAGGCATATCAAAATTGCTTTCGCAAGATAAAGAAGAAACTGAAAAAAAAGCCATCTGAAAGACAGTTTGACTTCAGTGAGACGTATATCTTTGGAAAATTTGAAACCTTTCATCGACGTCTGGTTAAGATAATAGAAGTTTTTAATACTATTAAAATTTACTCAGTTCTACAGGATTCTAAAATAGAGGGATTGGACACAATAATCACAAAATATGAGGTACACAAGAAGTTTTGGAAGTCCTGTCAGTCTGACTTGATGTTGAAGCAATAAATTATAATGAAAATTAGAAAATATCTCTCCAGAGAAAAATATAACTCTAAAAATATAGTACTGGGTTAATGTTCTAAGTGTATGATCTTTTGGAGAGTGAGCTGACAAGATGTGAAGGGTGTGTTAAAAGCAAATTTAAGCCAAAAAAGGCAAAACAGTTGGAGAACTTTGTAATTGGAGCCATAACTTTCTTTTATGATCTGTGGAAGTGAAAATGGCAAAATTTTTGTCCTAAAATGTTTTGCCAAATGTACTATGACTGACACTGTAGGCTGTTTCCATCTATTACCCATCGTGCTAGGTGTACCTGGGCATTGCGTAGCACTGAAGTCTTGAATTTCATTTTTGGCACAGAATAAAAAAACTTGGACTCTTAAGTTTATCTCAGTTCATTAAGGAAATATGCTTTGTTCTGGCAAAACAGATTATTAGATTTTCTCAAAATCTCAGACTCTTGATATTTTTGATACGTCTTAATATCTTTGTTGTTCTTGAATGAAAAGAGAGTCAATTCACAGAGGGCTTTCTTTGGGGTGAAAGAGGGAGGAAAGTGCTTTGTGCTAGAGATCTCTCCAAATCCAGACCTTTTCTTCTGTAGCAATGGCATCCCTCTGTGTGACTATTACTTTTGGCTTCTTTCCTGGTCCTTTTATCTAATGCGAGTGAGACTTGAACAATAAGAAATTCTTCTAAGAGTATAACCATGGGAAATCATGTTCTTTTCCTTTCTTCATTCTTGCTGAGATTAAGTTAAGTAGCACAACTTGAGATGTAACAAGTAACTTTTTCCGTGCTTTCTGGAGTAGGGAATTGACTTTCCTGATTGTATATCTTGATTAGCACAGTGTCTTGATAATTATTGCACTTCTGATTCATTTTAACAGTTGTAAGTATTCATAGTATGTAATTTGTAGAATTTGAAGAGGTCAGGAGTAATAAGTCTTGGGGTGGTGACATGTTGCATCTTACCAGGACTTTTGAACAGTTCCTTTTTCTATGAAGTCAGTTAATGACATGGGAAATGTGGGGAACTATTTTCCTATACTGAAGTTGAACTTTGTTAGCTTTTAAATATTTTTAAAATACTATTTTGAAAAAGTGAAGCTTTGCATAAAAAGATATTTAATGAATAGCAAGTATCTTTGCTGAAAAGCAAGAGTTTCTATTTTCTGTCTCTTCAAATTCAGTTAGAAGAGGAAGTAATATAAATGAAATTCATATGACCATTACACCAACTTTATTTTTCCAAACACATTATTTTGGTTTGTTTATACTGCTTAGCAAATGCTAGTAACTAATGCTGAAGGTATCCAGTCCACTGAGTCAAACTTTTTTTTCAAACTATTTCAGTGTCAAACTTTCTGATAAGACAATTTTGATAACGTTTTTCTTTCTCTGAAAAAAAACTGTTTAGAGCATTGTTGACATTATGAAGAAAAAGCAATACAATTTTTTGGATCAGCGCATGGCTGATTTTGACCAAGACTATGAAGAATTTTGCAGAGAGATAAATGATCTTCATGTAAGTTTTATGTTTTAAATAATAAGTCGTTTTCCTGATGATTTCTCCTAGAAAGCAAAGCCATCTCTATCTGAGCGACCAGCAAACAAATAATGCAAGTCTATTCTGTTGTGAAAGGGGGAATGATTCTAATGTGTCTTTTCTTTAAAACTTGCATTTACTATCTAATATTCAAGCCAATTTCATAGAATAGGCCAGAAAAGACCTATTAAGAGGTCTTCCATCAAAAAAGATTTCTCTTATTGATGTTGATTTCACATAAATAAATTCTGTGTATCCATAATGTATGATAAATACTGTCAAATAACACCTGTTGTTATGTTAAATATGTGGGTATATTTGATGTGATAGTGTACTGTAGCATTATTTTATCTTTTCCAGGATCAGTTAAGGACTTTTATGGACATCACCTTTGAAAATATTCTGAACACTGAAAGAGCACTAAAGATGCTAAGGAAATTTGAAAGGTATTGTATCCTATCTAGTTTGCAAGAATTTTCTCAGGCTGTGGAAATAACTTTTTGACAGTTATAGGAAAGGGGAGAACGGAGCTGGAAACATTTTAAATACAAATGGAAAACAGCTCAATCTCCCCTCCCTCAGCTATTCATCTTTGGCAAGGGAAATTTCTTCAGTGATGTGGATGAATAAGAAACATCTATTTCCTTGTATTGGAAAAATGTAGAATATAAATCACCTTTGAACTTTGTCTTTAAAATTAGTTAGGTTCAGGAATACTTTGTTATGGCTGTTAACATTTATGCTTAGTTTGTCCTTTGATGATGAAATTAATTTACTACTACAGGGCAGCTAGAAAAGGACAAAGTACTTATATTAAGAAATAGTGAAATGTAACTTGGTGGATTCATATTGTTTCAAAATAGCCTCAGTCCTTATTGTGTCACTTTTCTTATTATATTCTGTTTAATAGCCTGTCAGTGGTGGCTGGTGACAACTGGCTACAAATAATTTGCTTAGCTTTAGAAAACAGACATATAGAAGAATATATATAGGTTTATTTGGAATAGGCTTATTATATGGCCTGAATCTTGGTTGTTTGGAATCAGATTGTGTCACTATTTGATCAAACCTAGTGAAAACTGCTGCTAAAGTAGTTATTTTCGAAGAAATGCAAGGGAGTCTGGGAAGATCGTGTTTTCCAACAACACAAAGAAATTCAAAAGTTTTGAAGGAATTTTTATAATGTTTTTTATTTTTCTAAACAGATTAAAAATCCCAAGTCTTGGTGTTGAAGAAAAGTATCTGAAAATCCTTCAAAACTTTGGTAATGACATAGAAACTGTCTCTGACCTCTACACTACACAGAAGCACGACCCTCCATTGGCTCGTAATCTGCCTCCCATAGCTGGGAAGATCTTGTGGGTCCGCCACCTCTTCCATAGGATCGAGGAACCCATGGAGTGTTTTCAGCATCACCCATCTGTTCTACAAACAGTAGATGGAAAGCGCGTAATCCGCAGCTACAACAAAGTAGCAAGAGTTCTTGTGGAGTTTGAGGTGATTTATTACAGGGCATGGCTTCAACAGGTAAAAAAGCCAGTTTTGATTAAGATACTTCTTCAAAAAATTACAGTGGATTTTGTTTTTTTAATGTTAACATCCAGACCATATTGGATCTCTGTTGTGCCAGGAACTGTTAAAATACTGAATTACAGCATTATACTGAATTACTGGTAAATAGTGGTCAAGTATGCCAAGGTGTATGCTTAGAACAGGAATGAACTGAAAAAAGGATACTTTCGTAAGTATCTTTCATAAATTTTTATTAACAAATAGTTCCTATACTGCCTGTATTTGATTTTAGGAGCACGTCAGAGACCTTATGAGTTATAATGAAAAACATTTAGTATGGAAATATATAATGAAGATTCAGTGATATCTTTAGCTGCTCCTTATTCTCTGCCATGACCTACTGCCTCAGCTGCAATAAGATCATGTGTAAGGAGAGAATTTTTTAGCTTTGGTTAGCTTAAGGTGAAATTAGGCACAGAAGTTTCCTCTGGTGTGGATATTGTTACTTTGTTTTTGAGTGAAAATCCAGTGTACTCTCTGAGTGATGTATATATGAAAAGCATCCAGCCTCATCTGGCAGAGCATCCTGAAGAATTAACAAAGCACTCATTTCTTTTCATCCATTTGGTAAGATATTACACTCCTAATATTCTTCAAAAAACATAATACTTCATCTCATTTAGCTAATTTTACTGTATTTGTTTTTGTACGTAGAACCTCTGATTGCTTTGTAATATGTAAGCTCAGTTTTATCAAGGACTACTTTATAGCTTTGAATTCTCTGCAGGTTTTTACTATCCTGTCTGAATAACCTCTACCTCCAGTTTATCTGTTGCCTTTGCAAAAAATTGTCCTCAACCTCTCAGATCTGAAAGTGGAGGGATGAGAATCTCAGATCCTTCTTATGGAAGTGAGGCAAGAAGTCTGCCTCTTGGCCTTGGAGCTCAACCCTAGCTTTTGTACAAATATCAAAATGCCTGACACTGAAAAACATCAGTCTTCCAAAAGCCAGTATTGGACAAGATCTATGATGAGAAACTCCTGCTGTCTTATCCGATATGAATGTATTGTAGTTTCCTGACTCTTCCTTCAGCCTACATATTTGTTTTCTCCATGAAGGTTTAATATATCATCAGATTTCATTATCTGATACATATGTGGTGTTTGTTTGACTGGGTATATTAAAACTCAGGAGAAATATTAGAGGTTATGTGATGTTCTCTCTTTGGACTGTGTTGGCTCTGCAACTAGATATTGTTTAGTCATAATGAATCTGGGACTAATTTTGAATTGGGCATCAATGAAATGCAGAGTATAACGTTGACTGTTCTTTCATTAGAGATGAAACTTTCAGGTATATCAGGTTAAAATTTGGCACTATGAACCTCTCTAAACTGTTCTCTGCCCAAGCAATAATGAAAATCACCATACCTGGACTTAGAAATATCGTTAACTTCAAGTGCTTATTCTGTTAACTTGAGAGCCCACCTTTGGCTGCATGAGCTCTTCACAGACAGTTTGTGTGGCATGCATACGTACCTTCATGTCCCTCAGAAGAGGAGGTGTGGTGCTCCAGGAAGTCACTGGCATTTCTGTTTGGTGCTTCTGCCTTGGACACAGCTTCAGTTTGATTTTAGCACTGTGCAGGTACCTGCATTAACTCAATAGTCTCAGGTGTGCTGAGGATGAATTTCAATGAAACGTGTCTGTTAGTGATATTGGATCCCTGCTTGGTCACCTTTTTCTTGAGATGGGTTCCTTGTCTCAGAACTAAGCAGGATGTGTTCTTCCTGCTTGGGGAGTTACATCTCTTCCCGTTGGGCGGATGTTCTAATGATTATTCTTTCCGAGAAGTAAAAGTTGTACCATGCTTTAATAGAAGTCATTTGGTCAATTCTTTCTGCTTTTACAAAGTGACTGTAACATCCAAGGTATGAAGCTTTCCCCTGATGCTTAACCACCACTAACGTATGCCCATGTTTGCTCATGGTCAATGAGATATACTCTGTTGGAGAAGTATTCTGTATCCTTTTACTTTAATGTTCTCAATGTTGCCTTTGTATGTGAGGTCCTAGGCCCTATTTTGGTCTATGCTGAAAGAAAGAGGCTGGTTTCTCCTGTAGCACAGTCAATTCCAACCTGGCAGCCATATAAAAGCAATGAGTCAGCTCCAACCTTGGGAGTTGGGAGCACTGGGAACAAAGGAAGGTGAAGCACAATTCCATGTGCTTGAAACAAGAACACACCTTAAACATACTTGAAAAATATATCCACTTAATTATCAATATACTTACCTACATCTCAAAAAAAATTATCTACTGTTAGTCTTCGCTCTCCTCCTTCTGTGAGCCAGGAGCAGAGATTGCTGTGGACATCAGTGTCCAGGAACACAAGGTGGAGCTCCTGCTCTATGAATGAACCAAAAAGCGGGGCCACTATCCTGTGGGAAACAACTATGAAAGAAAGAGGGTCATAGCATGAACCATTTCTTCTACTTTTTTTTTTTTTCCCCCCTCCACCCTTTTTGTACAGTGGAAATTGTTTAGTGGCTCTTTCTGATATTGTAGAACACTTTTGCTTTTCCCTGTTTGTTGCTGAATGGCTAATGCATGTTTTAGCCCCTTCTTTTAATTGCATAAGGCTTAAAGCCATTATTTTAGTGCTCTGTGTGGGCGTACTAAAATAACAAGATACTAGACAATGTAAGAAACTTTTGTAGTCTTACGGTGGTGTAAGTATACGCCTTTAAGGTACTGCTCATTTCTGTTACCAACATGCACTACTTCACAGTGAAAATGGCGTCGTTAAAGTTATAAATGGGAGGGGAAAATATTGGCAGTGGGGATCATGAGTCTCTGAAGCAGAGAGAAGAATATGCTAAGATTTCTTGGTGGACTTTGGGAAAAAAAATCATTGAAGTTACTATTTAAAGCAGCTGTATAGAACGAGTTTGTTGCTAGTGGATGGAGCATGATAACCTCACTATCAATAGTTGGTTAGATGTTCTTCTGAAAAATATTGAGTAAAATGTCCTAATATTACTGTCCTAATAGTCCTGAGATACTGTCTCAGCAAGCAATGCAAAGCTTCAGCGTATATAATACAAAAAGAAAAAAAGAACCTGCAAAGAAATTAGAGGGTTACCAAACTATTATCTAAAAAACTCCAACAATGCATCAAGTTTGAGAAGTGAATAATGGACATTATGTCAGCAAAAGGAGAACTGTAAATTTGGAAAAGCAGCAAAATGTTTCCCTCGGAGAAATTTTCCTTACCTGAGCCAGGACTTCTTCCCATTATCAGCAAGCTTTCCATATGTAGTCTTGGGACTGTTCTCCCTGCTAATAGCATGTACAACAGGTAGAACTGTAATATTAAAATACAGCAATTAATCCAATAGTATGTTAGGCTTCCCACTTAAGGACAAGAATCCTATAGTACACTTTAATTTTAGTTGTCTTTACTTTTGCCCAAATGTTGAGTATAACTGGGAGTTTTAGGTAAGATTAGAGCCCAGTGTAATTGTTAGGTGGTGGGAAACAAGTGGAAGGATAGGCCTGGAATCAGGAAACATGTCTAAAATTACCCAAGATTAAATTTAGTTCATCAAGGAGGTTGTTCAGCATTCAAAATGTGCAATAAATTTTAAGGAAATGAGATTTTCACTTTCAGAGGATTGAAGTAAAAAAAGTCTGCTCTAAATGTTTGATTGTGGGATGGGACTTACAATATTGTAGAACCTACAGAAAATACCTATGATATGAAGAAAAGTTGATTAGCTTGGCAAGCATTCAGGTACATACATGTTACATTAGTAAAGTTTTATAGCTCATTCATACTATGCCCATTTTGATTGTCAGCAATATCTGATTTTAGTATATGATTGTGCCAAATTGATGTTTGTGTCCAAAGAGAAGTATATCTTTGTGCTGTCATGTTTGATCAGGAATTGCAATGTTGTTTCCTGGCAGGTTGAATGGACTAAAACAAAACTTCAGAATTTTCTCTTGGCAAAATCTCCAGAAACAGGAGAATTATTTGTGAATTTTGACCCTGAGATAATAACTTTAGTCAGAGAAGCAGATTGCATGGCTCACATGTCCCTAGAAATCCCACCATTTGCATATATTCTTCAACTAAATAGAGATCGGTATAAAAAGAACATCAGCAATTTGCAGGTAGGTTTATTTTAGTTGCTTTAGTTGCTTTCATGCAAATAATATGTTAAAATGTCTAGACTCTATACACATGGGAGAGGAAAAATGGAAGGCTAAATATTATGTGTTTATTATGCAAGTCTACTTCTATCTTTTTGACTCTCATGAGACACCATTTAAAGGAATTTCTTAGCTTTGAATCTCATGTGAAATAACTTGAAAGATGCATAGGTTTAGGGCAGGAGGCTCTGTTGTCCAGGTCCATAGAAAGGGTTGAGGGCGGGGGCAGGGAAAGGAGACTTACAGGATGCTCAGCTTTCTGATTGATAAGCAATTTATCTGTCATCCTGTAATGGGGTCAACACTGTCTTGACAGAATGGGAGGGAGGCATAGGTGGTATACTTTTTTAAAAAGTACTAAGTAAGCAGCAAAAGCCAGTGTAGATATCTGTGGAACAGCTAGAACTTCCTTTTGTCTCATCCTTTAAATCCTGTGGTGGTTTTGGCTAGCTATGAACTGACAGGTCTGGAGGATAGAAGAGGAGGGTTCAAAGATAGGTGTCCCGACTGTATCTTCAAAGGATGACTTGATTCTGAATGAAGAAAAAATACTGTGTCAAGTCCTGAAGCCATTGCAAGGATTGTTTCTTGCAAGATATGATTTAAAAATAAATAGCAAATTAAAGCCGTGGTAGGCTGGCCTATTAAAGCTTCTGAAAAACTTTATTTAGAGGAATTATTCTTAGTTTTTTTGTCTCCCAGAACATTCATTTAAGAACTGAAAAGTGCAGGCTGTTCTCTAAAAAATCTTCTAACTGTAAAAGCAAAATTTCTGTGTAAAGTAGTGTTTGCATTACAATGAAAAAAAAAGGAATATTTGCCAAAAATAATAGGAAAAAAAAAATTCCAAGTCTTAAGACTTGTAATTATATGCGTCCAAAGGAGTTATCTTAATTTAAGCCATGATAAATAGATGAACATGTGTATGAAAATTAATTAATGCTTTCACACTCTGTTTATTTTAGATGATACTAGCAGAATATAAAAGAATTAAATTGAAAATCCAACACCCTGTTGAGCAATTGATTGCACCTTGGTTAGCAAATATAGATGATGCTCTCCAGCCAGGTTTAATGTTACTGACCTGGACTTCCTTGTATGTTGAGAAGTTTATAGAGACAATTTTTTACAAGCTAGGTAAGTCTGCTTGCCTTCTGCTAACTTCTAGGTGTATATTTCTAGATCTGTGTTGGGAATATAGTTAAGCTTATTGTCCTTTATGTGCCTTTTACTAAAGCGACTCATACATCAAAGAAATTGCAATTCCCATCTATCCTAAACTTAATTAAAACTCCATTTAAAATCAGCACTTTTTATTGTCTCACATCTTTTTCGTAGTTTTGCTGAATTGGATGAATTGGCAGTATGGGTCATTTAAGCATAAAACAGTATACAAAAGCTGTTGTGTATTCTGACCTCAGAGAAAAATAGTTACTTTTTCTTAAGAGCTCCCAGGTTTCACACTTCTAGTTTTGCTTTCTGTTTCTGTCTAGAACTGTTTTCTGTACAAAATAACTTCTGAAGGAAAAATGTCTCAACTGCATTTGCACTGGCAATTTGCACTGGTACTTCTCAGTAGCTTATCCTATTAAGTATTATTTTTAAAGTCAATCTCTTTAAAACAAGCACACCCACACATACCTACTTGGGGAGCTGCTTTAGAAAACAGATGGCTTTGGAGTCTTATTTGAAAGAAAATCACAAGATTGCAGTGTATGGCACAAGGTTGCACAAGGAATATCATAGTATTTCTGAAGACTGTAAATTCCTTCAGTTTTTATATTACATCAAATAAAATGTGTACTTATCTTACAATGTGATTTTTGTTTAGTTTAAATGACAAATTAAAATGTGTTTTTCATGGTTGCTTGAAATTCTACTCAAGTATTTAATTTCAATTAAGACAAGTAGTTTGAGTTTGAAACAGCTACCTTGTTGCTGTTTCAATTTTAGCAATGGAAAAAATGCTATTAAACTGAAAGCAATAGTAATTGTTGTGTGATTATTATTTAATTTCTAAATATTTTTGAAGGATGGACAGTGTATTTGTCAATGAATTTTGTTGCTAATGTGTTGTCCAAGTAAATATTGTATTAAGCTGTAAGAAAGGGATAAATAATCCTGGAACACAACATAATTGAATTTTGATATCTTTATATCTATGTTTGGTATCCTTTAAGATCATCCTGAATTAAAAAACTAATAGACAAAGTATTATTAAAATATGTAAACTGTGTGCCGCATCTGCCAGAAAACCATATGTTGTGCAAAATGTTAATTAAGACTTAAGGGGTGAACCTTGCCATGAAAACGGCAGAAAGCATAGAGTTCTGGTGAAATGAAATGTGCTAATTTGAAGTAAAAAATTAAGCAGGACTCAGAAAACACTATTATTTCAGACTTTTGTGTTTGTTTTAAATTTTTTATTTTCTTCAAAAGCTGAACTGGAGTTATTGCTTGATCGGGTGAATGACTTAGTTGAATTTCGTATTGATGCTGTCCTTCAAGAAATGAGTTGCGTGCCTCTCTGTGAATTGCCAGAAGATGAACCACTGAACTGTGAGGAATTTCTGCAGAAAACCAAGGTTATTAAATAGAATTTTCATAGAAAAGAGTTCAGTGCCTTTAAGCTATTTTTTTTTATGAGATAGACTGTGTGGGAAAATGAAGTAAGGAAATAGACAGTAAATTAACAGGAACCTTAGAAATGAACACAAATGGCAAATTAAAAGATGTCTGAGGTGAGACATCCTGTTCTGAGCTTATTACTGTCAAGCCAACTTGATATTCCTTTTATGTTTTGATACCATTCAACTTGAATGTATTTCCTTTGGCATTCCCTTTTTGTCCCTGTTGCCTTTTAGTGACCTTAAGGAAGGTAATTGTGTACCTCATGCCTGTGAAGAGCCCCATAGCAAGTGCTCTGTGTTGCCAAAGAGAGTAAATACTGTGGAAGGGATTATGTTCTGAATAAGTTTCTTAATATCAAGCTCTCATGCTGATAATGATGATGTTCACAATATGTACTCAGAAGTATGGATAACTGTATGACGGGATTCTGAGAAGAGCTTCTTCCTCTATCCCAACTATAGAGAGGAGGAGGAAGTGTGATTATTTAAGCCTATTTAAGTCTATTAGTCTTGTTAGTCAAGCTGTTAGGTGAAAGCTGATTAATTAGTTAAACTACCATTTTATAAGGCAACTGTGAGATCTTCTAGCCTTTCAGAAGATAGTCTAACTGTTTTTTCTACTGAAATATTTTTTTTTCTTGGAAAGGATTGTAGAAGATCAAGTAGAGTATCAACAATCTGATTTCTTGTAGCAATTAGTGATGCAAACAAGGCTAACTGGCCTCAGTTTTTATGTCCGTCATAGCTGCTCTTATCATAGTCAAATAAAAAAATCACGGTATTATTTGTTGAATGATGGACTTTTATAAACCTCAAAATCCATTGATTTCTATGTTAATCCTGCTGCTGCCCTCCTGATAGGGTTCATACTAGAAGAGATATTGACCAAAGTAAAAGTGTATAAAAAGTGAGCATGAAAACTTTCTCAGTGATGTAATAATTAATATTGCTTCATGTTAATTTTCTGCAGCAAAGCTTGGACTGCTAAACAGAATAAGTAGTGTACTAATTTCAGTTAGGGGTATAATGAGACTAGTACTGAGATTTGTAAACTTATTTTAGTTTTTAATTAGAAAAGACTAGAAGTAAGTTTTATCTTCTGAGAGATGTCTTTATGATGAAGAAATTGCTGCCACAAGAATAGGACAGAGAAAAGAAAAAAAAAAAAACAAAGCATTTTAGATACATAGATACAGTGATGGAGCAAAGCAGACCTGGCTTCTTTCTCAACCAGGCTGAACCTTTAGGAAGATCAAAGATTGTCTTAAAGCTTTGGAAATAACTGAATCTTGCTAAAGGCAGAATTTTTTCAATTACTGATTTTAATTAAATAAATCCAGGTTTGAGTGAGTTTGAAGAAATAGGAGATAACAAAGAAGAAAATATTGAAAGGCAATTATAGATAAAATTTACACTTGGCTAAATTATACTTCATCAATTTTAGCTTCTGTTTTAAAGAAAAAAATCTAACCAACACCGTAATATAGCTTTGATTTTCATTAAATCCCATTCTTTGTTTCCCCTTCTCCCCCAGTTATAATTTCTCTGTTTTCTCTAATCATTATATGTATTTTATCATGTGTTTGACTGTAAATGGATGGAAAATACAGTTGGTTTATATTCAGTATGGCACAGTGAATTAATGTAAAACTGTAATGATTAAAAAAAAAGGTTAAATTCTCCCATGAGTGCGTTAAAAGTTAAGAAAATTAATAAATGGAAGAAATACTTGTTTTCGATAACTTTTTATTGGAACTGTGTTTTATAGAAGCAGATTGATAATATTAACTCTGAGTTATATGATTTAGGAAATGAGACACAATAACTTTGAAAATTGTGATATTTTTGCACAAGAATCCAAAGCTAGAGTGTGGGACAAACTGATCTAAAAACAATGGGTTGAACTTTTCCTGATGAATCTGAGGCCTTGAAATCTGTTGATAAAGACTAATGTGACTGTGAAATAGCCAAAAGAATAAGGAATTTAAGAACATATTTTTGTTTTTGTTTGGTAATAGGAGCTCTGTAGAAAAGGTTCCCAGACTTTACATTTAAAAAGCTCACTGGTGGAAGAAGCTGTTAATGAGCTGATTAATATGTTACTTGAAACTGAGGTTCAGCTCACAACAGGAGATGAGAAGTCAGTTGTGCCTACCAGTGGAAGAAACGAGAGAAGTCCAGGTAAGGGATGAACATTACTATAATTCTGTGATTGTATTCTTCTGCATGCTGATAATATGTTTTGGGGAACAGTGTCTGATTTTTAAAGACGTTTGTTTGAATTTACCTGGGTGATGATGGATCATCTCAGTCATCTGTGATCTGCCAAATAGGCCAGTGTTATCCATCCAAATTGCACGTTTAAGTGCTTTTGTTATAGGGACAGATACTTACAGGCCTTAATTGGCTAGGAAGCTGGACTTCCTAGAGACTGAGTGTTAAGAAGTATTATCTAAATTCTGCTGACAATTATTCTAGTTCAGACTGAATAAAGAAGATAGAGAGGGTAAGTAGGGGGTAAGAACCAATAAATTGAGGAACAGATGACAAATGAATATTATCTAGCAAGAGTCATACAGCTTAACTTCAGACACGTGGGTTATTGCTTTGTTATGTTTTTGTGTTTATTCTATCTACAGCTTAACTTCAGACACATGTGGGTCATTGCTTTGTTATGTTTTTGTGTTTATTTTTGTGTGTTATTGTGTTTATTTTAAGATTTCTAAGTCAGTTTAACTAACTAGATTAATGATATCTACAGAAGAGGAAAGAATATCAAAAAGCCTGGCCTTCTCCCACATTTCCAGTGAGATATTGGCTGAACTATCACCTGTGGCAAAGAGGAGGGGAAAGGAATCAGAAGTGTTAGAGGAAGAAGCCAATGAACTGCTTTCCTACTTTAATCGTCGTAATGTTGATGCCCTTTTCAAAGTCACTCGGAATACTCTGGAGACCATACGCAAGCGCATCCATGCATCTTCCATGATCAACTTCCTAGGTGGCCATTCTGCAGTGCCTTCCTAGCTACTTAAGAAATGAAATTATCTAGATATGCTATTACAGAACCATATCAAATAGAGCCAAACATGTAAAAGAGGTGAAAAACGTTTGAATAAGCTGGTTTGTTATGCCACAACAGATATCATGATATTTTTGCAGAAAGTGGTTTTTTTTCTTTTCTTTTCATATGAGAAGGGTAATGTGCCATGCTGATGCTGTTTATCATAGGACTGACTCCACTGGAGCTGGATGTTAAGCATTAAATGCAGTAGAGTATGTACAGGAGATCAGACTTGATAAGTGGTTACCAGTTTTACATTTGCTTTTGCATAAAACCATATGAAAGAAAATACAAAAAAAAAAAAAGATGTATTCTCTTTCTCTTGCTCAGTAATTGCCACAGAAGCACACAGTTGTGTTTTATCTGTATAGCAGGAGCTTTAGGAATCTAGGAATACAAACTGGATAAAAAGATGATCTGTTAAACGTATAGCTGCAGTGAAAAGGTTGACAAGAAACTGCACAGAGAGAAAAAGAATGGCACTTAGCTTTGCTTGTACTGCTGTAGGCTGCTGACCAACACATAGTCCTTGTAAATTACTCAGGAATCTCTTTTTTCCATAAGAAATGACATTCAATATCCAAAACTATACTGTATGTATTAGTTTATATTGTTAAGACAAGTAGATTGACATCCTGAAAAAAAATTAACATTTTTTTTTCTTTCTTTCATTTAGAAGATCACAGTTCCGCTAAGCAGAAAACAAGTGTTTGTCCTATCATTAGGACTAGTGTTAACCTGTCTATCCCTAATGTCATCATGACACCCTCTTTGGATCAGGTGCAGCAAATGTTTAATAAAGTTGTGGATAGCATTGTCAGTGTAACAAAAGGAGTTGGACAGTGGAGTAAGGAGAGAATATCAAAGGTTTGTGTCTTTAGTAACCTTACTTAAAAAATATCAAAGGTATTGAAAATAAAAAATATTTTTTTTATTTCTTCTACAGAAGAAAATGCTAGAGAGAAAAGTGGCTGATCTGCAGTGCGAAAGCAGAGACAGTGATTCTGATGATTCTGCAATGAAAGACACTGGAGTGAAAAACATGCTTGGTAATATGAAACTGAATGTTAAATAAATGTGATTTATACGATATATGCTAAAGGATATTAAATAGAAAATGCACCAAAATCAAGAGAATAATGCTTTCATAAAATTTAAACCATCTTAGGGAAGAAATAGGATGCCATAAAAGGCAGAACATTTCTTTGGAGACCAACGTTACCTCAAAGTGTTTGTCCTTTGTAGATTTGAATAAGGGAATGCTTTATGATTCTCAGAGTTGTACTGATTTGGATTTTATCTGTAAAAATTGTCAGGTTGTTAGGGCACCATCTTGGGCAGCACTGTAGAAATTTTGAGTGATTTAGGAAAACAACTGTAGTAACTTTCACTGTGCAAAAACTTTGTGATTTAGCAGTGTGGATTGTAACTTGAAGCTTTTCCTGAAATGACCTTTGAGAAAGGTAAATTGGTCTCCAGCAACAACTATTACTGAGTAGAAATATCTATATAAATTGTAATATTGGTGAAAAGGGTTGTGCAGAGGGTCTTGAATAAACTAAAATTTCTAGAAGAAATTTAACTTAATCTCTTTTGTGATAAACCATGGAATTAGGTTACTGACGGAATTCATTCAAAGGAATTTTAAGATAGTATCTTTGGTTGCTTAATTGCTCTTGTGTAAACTTGTTTAGAATAAAACCAAATTAACTTTGTACTTCAGGTACTTCAAAATAATATGGGCTTAGGGTAGCTCCCTCTAATCCACATAAAAAGTAGAGAAGTAATACTTGAACGGATTAAGAAATTGTTCAGTCAAAACCAAGAGTTTGTCTTCCCTAAAATGAAACCAGAAATGATAGTAAATTTATTTTTTGTAACTAATTTTTTGAGGCTTCCTTGTATTATTCTTACCTTTTGAGACCTGGCTGTGGTAATCTGATAGGATCTAATCTTAATTTCAATTTGAAATTCAGTCATGATTTACCCCACATGAAAATAAGAAAATGTGTGGATCTGGTTAGTGCAAAGTTTTCAATAAATCACTCAGGTGAAGCATACATGATAATCCTTGAGCATGGGAGAGGAAAAAGGGAAGTTTGAAAGATTAGAGTGGAACTTGTTCCAAATTTGACAGAAAATTCAGAAGAAGCAAAGTCAGGTTTATGAATTTGTGGTAGCTTTATTGGTCACCTATATTTCTAGCTGCCTTTTTAGTTAAGAACACATAATTCTAAAAAGTGTGCTTATTGAGAAACAGGTCTGGAGTTCTTATCTGTAGGAGTTTGCTTGGCCTAAACCATGTTTTATAACTGCTTCTCTATTTGACTCTGCCTTTACAGATAGTGTTTCTGATGCACCATCACTCAATTTGTCTGAACCAGACCAAAGCAAGAGCTACTTCAAGAGTGTTTCAGAGAACAAAGAAATTATTAAATTGGTATCTGTACTCAGCACTGTTATTAATTCTACAAAAAAAGTAAGACAGTAGACATGATAATTTAATATCATTATCCAAGGGATATTAGTATATTGCTTTAAGATCCTTGGGCAATAAGTGTGAGCATTTAAAGCACTGGTTAAACATATGAATGCATCTGGTATGGTGGTTGGAGAACACGTATCTGTAAATTTGCAATTATTCTGTGAAAACATTACATTGAAAACAAGGTAAAATATACTGAGTGTTCAAAGATTTATGAGGTTTTTATGAGATATTATGGAATGAAAAACTTAAGTCTGATTAAAAACATTTCTCCAGAGAATAAAGCATCATTAAAAACATTAAATATATTTGAATATGTATAGTTAATACAGAAGTATTAGTAATTGTACAAGTGTATTAAATTGAATTGATGTTCATGTTTTAAACATGAGTTTTGGCCCCATATGCAGAACTTACCAAGCTTTTTGGAAGAAAAACTGGCTGCCAGCTTGGCATTTGCCAAGTTCTACATAAAACTCAGTGGGAGTTTAGGAGATAGCTTAAGGGGGTCTTCATGATTTCTTTGCCCTTTTCTTGTTCCTTATACACTCTAGGAAACTGTAGGTCTAGAAATGATATTTCTTTGGCGAACTCTCCAAAAAAAAATTCCTGCTGGGATGCAGTCCAACCTCAGTGAGGAGCCTTGCCAGAAGGAATTTTTTGTTTCAAAACCTCATAACTTCAGTGGTACTAGGTGAATGACATTCAGGCTTTCGCTGAAGACTAAAGTGCAGTTGGTAGCAATAAATGATTATCTTGGTATTTTGAGACCTAATATTTTGTAATTGGAAACTTTTGATTTTTTTTTTCTTTTTCTTTTCTTTTTTCCTCTTCTTTTTCCTCCCAATTTAAATGCCTGTAAGTATTATGTTTATTTTAAATCATGATATGGATTATTTCTAGTAGCAATCACCTCTCATTTACTTTTTTAATTAACTGATGAGATTTATCTTTTGCTTAGCATTTTCTTGAATTCTTGTTAACCAGAAAGATAATTTTGTTGCATGTTCCTTAAATATTTTTTAAATCACAAATAGCTGAATTAACCGTAGAATTAATTTTTACTATCAATGTTATAGATGCAAAAAAAAATCTTAACTTCATCATATAGAGAATGAATAGAATTACTGTTATTTTTCTTACCTTGGGACCTGGAGCTCAAGGTTCATTGCTTGTCCAGTAAGTGGCATGGGAGGATACTGGAAAAACGAAGAAAAGGGCATCTTTGCATGAGTTTTGGTTATTGGACAAGTATATTGTTTCTTAAATGGAAAGAAATATTTCCCACAGTGTCTTGGGATTTTGCTGGCTGAGGAATCACCACATTGGGAAATACTACAAGCAAGGTAGCAAATGGAAAGTGATTATCATGCAATGCCTGGGAAGGCTTTTGATTGCAAATGGAACCTGCTTGAGCATAAATTTACTTCTGTTTAGTGAGGTGATGCAACCCTCTCCATTCCTGCGCACTTTGTGTTTTGGCTAGTAGGTGCTGAGAAGTGTATGCTACAATTTGCTCAGAATTTCTCTTCGAACTTCTTGTGTTCCAGGAACTTCTTACAGTTTTGGAGAGTTTCAGTTGTTACCACCATATATGGCAGAAGGACAAGGAGGAAACTATTGATAAATCTGTGATGGGAAGCCCATTGCTTTCAGAATTTGAATCTCAGATTCTTCATTTTCGAGACCTGGAGCTGAAAATCAATTCTGAGCCTGAATACATCTGTGTGGGAGCTATTGCACTGTATACAGGTATAGTTCAATTCTGTGCTTCTGTCTTGGGATATATATTTTCTGGCACCAATAGGAAGAAAAAATGTGCCTTGGTTTGGAAAGGTTGCCTAGGTTAAAGATGGAAAAGAGGAATAGGAAATGGCTGTTTGCATGGATTTACAGCCAGAACAGTGAACGAAATGCTTGTCTAACACAAGGGTGTTCAACTGGTTTTCCTTGCCCCATCTGGAAACATTTGCTTGTTTATGAGTGGATGGTAGATACTTATCTGTCCTTCTTTCAGTCACTCTCATAAGCAGAGAGCTTATAGAGTAAGATAATTTGCCTATCTTGTTTTTCTCCCTGGCTGGCCACATATAATGAGACAAAAGTGAGCTGCTGATACTAAAAAAAAATCTTGGATTTAATACAATTAGTTAAGTGAAGCATGTATGTTGCTGCTGATACCCTTTTTCTACAGAAGGCAGCAGATTTTCACTTTTCACTACCGCGGGTCCTACTTCACACAAATATATTTTGCATAAGCGTTTTACAGCAGTAATGATCTGTGATGAAGTATAAGAAATGCATGCAGCTGATTTTGCAGTTTGTATCAAAGCTGAGAAAGCACAATGTGTTTGCTTAGGAAAGAGTATTAACCAATTGTTCAATATAGTGAAGCTTGGCTGGAAAGAACTAGAGAAATAGGGAGGCCCCTATAGCCAAGGGAGACAATGTTAAGTCTGTCGACGATCCAAAAAGACCCATGAGGTGTGAGAGCTAAGTATAGAAAAAAGATGCTTTGTCAAAAGGAAGAAACGCAAGTGAAATCTGCAGAGTGATTGTGTAGGTAACTGTGTCAAGGTTGAAATTATGTCCAGCTAATATTTTATGTAATGCTTGTGGCACTATTGATTTTTCTGACTCCTTTGTGAAGAACTGTGAGGAGGAAATTTGAAAGGCACAGCTCTAGGGGAACAGACTGAGCTGTTGCAACATTGGGCAGTAACTCAGCAAGACTTCAATTTACACTCTAAAGGCTTGTCATTTGGTTCTACTGATGCTAAAGGTAAAACTCTTAAAAGGTTGATAGACCATTTGCTTTTAATAAACCAGACCTAACTTTCTATTTCTTCAGCTTCCATTATCAGTCTCTTGCTTCTTCTGTTCCCCTCATGATTTTTTAAAAAGATTCATTTTTGAAAAGATGTTACACTGAGATAAATGAGAGTATTGACCAGTTTGTTACTGAGGTATAAAATAAGAATGTGTATAGTAATATGTGAACAAGATGGGAAAAGTGTGCAGTCCAGCCAATGGATAACAGGAGGAAAGATGCTGTGTTCTGAGAAGATAGGAGGAAAGCAATCCTTAATTGCAATGAACAACTCAAATGCGGCAATGTTATTTCACCTGCTCTGTATGTGATGGCTAGACTGTAAAGTTGGAGCACATTGAAACAAGATTAAAAGTAAATTTTCAGAAAAATTGAATACCTAAATATCTGTTACTTCTTCATTTTTTAGCTGACCTGAAGCTAGCACTGACAGCAGAAACTAAAGCATGGATGACTAAGCTGGGGTGTCATTGTAATAAGAAGTACAGAACAGAGATGGAAAAAATTTTCACTTTTATAGAGGAAACTGGAAAGAAGTTAAATCGCCCCATCAAGGATCTGGATGACATAAGAACAGCCATGTCTGCATTAAAGGAGATCAGAGAGCTACAGATCTCCATAGACTTTCAAATAGGGCCCATTGAGGTAATTAAAAGGCTTGTTGCCTACGTAGCTACTGGGCATACAGAGCAATTATTTTCTGAGTTTAAGTTTAGCAGTGCATATTGAAAAGATATTTTTTCATGTATCTGTTAGTGGGCTTGGGTGGCAAGCATTTTGTGTTCCTGTAAACCTTCTTTTTGCAAGTAACTCTGAATAGGACAAATGTAAATTTGTTGAGAAAAGAGGTGGCTTAGTAAGCAAAATAGAGTAGAAAGTTTTTAAGTTTAAGAAAGTTTATATAGAAGAAGTCTAATAATATATGAAAAGCATTGATTTTCCTATCTCTCTCTATATATATTTATTTTGCAGGAGCTTAGCCTATAGTAGAGGAGAAAGCTAATGTCAGGCAAATTAGAGTATGTGTACAGATATATATGAGAATGCATAGGAGTGATTGCTATGCCAGTAAGATATATCATGGTTGGAAAAACATGGAAAGTTGGCATCGTTAACATGTATTAACCATTTGTCTGGAAGCATAGGGTGAAAGTGGCACACCACTCCCCTCTCCACCAAAAAAAAAAAAAAAACACAGTGTTTTCTCACTCAGTTTTTTTGAGCATGAGAAATCTCTGTAGTGCAGCATGTATTCATACATGCAAATAATGGAAAGAACAGGGAGCCCTTTGATATTTGGGAGCTAAGGACTATATGACTCAGCCTGCAAAGCTGTGAGGGTCTACGTAGTCCCACGATGTGCAAAATAAAATTCCCTAGTTTATGGTGAAAAGCCAAGTGTATCAGCAGCTGGAACCACCTGTGAAATAGCCATGGGTAAAATGGGGGCTCTTAGGAACTGACTTTTTTGAGGTTCCTGGCAGGACTAGTTGGTGGTGTCACTTTGCTCTGTGATGTGGAGCCAAGGCGTAAGGTGTGTTAGTCAAGGATTCCTAGGCTTACAATTCTCCAAGTAAGAGCCTGGGCTCCCTAGGTGTAAGGACTCATGCTTCAGATTTTGGAAGTGGAGGCAGACCTAGTAAGACAAGAGACAAAAATAATTTCTCTTTTCATCTTCATGATTTGTCTGCAAGTTGATTGAACTGGAAAAGGCAAATACTAATTCCAGTTCAATCAAAAAATTTCAGATGAAAGTGTTAGAGCACCAAGGAATTCTGCAGCCTACCCTATGCTAACTCACAGTAAGTGAATTTCGAATGCGTTTGAGCCTGAAATGCAGTTAGTGAATTTCTTAGGTAGCGAAATTTCCTAGATTTTATGAAACTTGGCTGAGAGTTTCAGTAGGTTGTAGATAACAAATTGGTGGCACGAATGGAGATCAGTGTTCTGAGAAAATAGGGGAGCAAGAAGTAGTATCACAGCTTCCTACTACTTTTATGCTGAAAACAGGATGTGAGGCTTAAATGTCCCCATGGAACAGAGATTTGTTTGCCTGAATGCCTCTGGTTACTTGTTTCCTCATAGATCTCTTCCTGTAATGTTCTGCTCTGGTCATAATAAATAAGGCATGTATCAGAATAACACTGTTATTAAGTGAAACTAAAACCTGTGTAGGGAGGCTAATTGCACTAAGGGATAAAAATCTGTCACAAGCAGAAAGTTCTGTGAAAGATAAGGAGTTAAGGTGAACAAACTAGTTTTCATTTTGATATTTCTTTCATTTTGACATTGGCTTGCCAGATTGGTGCTAAATGTCATGCAAAACAAAAAGTTCCCTATTATTTATAATAAATCATTCTATGTTCTTAAGTATTTAAAATGTTACCATAAATGGATGTGTAAAATTAACTTTGGTTACTGTTTTGTGTATCTTGATCCAACCTTCTGACAGGAATCCTATGCCATGCTAAACAAATATGATCTACTTGTGGCCAAAGAAGAGACAGACAGGGTGGACACTTTACGCTATACTTGGGAAAAACTGCTAGTCCAGGCAAATGAAGTACAAAAGCAGCTGATTTCTTTGCAGCCAAACTTCAAAAGAGAGCTAATTAGCACTGTGGAGACTTTTATTGAAGATTGTGAACATTTCTATTTGGATTATGATCAGGTAAGCATTTGTGCTGCCTTATAGTAAAGGCATTTTTGAAAAATGTTGGTCTTTAAAAGTGTTGAGAAGACTCTTATATTAAAAAGAAAATGAATTACCTTTTGTGTTCTGTGTTGAACCACACTAAGTGGTTAGTGTAGGGCACCATGTGATCTCTCTGTTCCCCACATGATGTAGGGGAGAAATCTTGCAGCAGCAAAAATTTGACTTTGGCACATAGAATTAGAAGTTACTCCTTAGAAATGTCGTGTTCTTTTTCTACTTCAAAATTCACTATTTACTTTTTTTTTTTTTTTTACTTATTTTTCAGAATGGGCCAATGGTGCCTGGCTTAGAGCCTCAAGAAGCCACTGACAGACTTGCTATGTTTCAGGTACTGTTAATTCCAGTACATTAGTTGGAACGATTAGTGCAAATAAACTAACATGTGAAGGCTTTGAGAATGTGAATCAGAGTAGCTGATTCATTGATAAGTGAGGTTGTTCACCAGACAAAGTCTGTTTTCAAACTTAAGGGAAGCATAGCTGGCATTTTTTTTCTATGGTCTTGCAAGGAATGGTGATTAAAATTATGTTTTCAGGAGTCATATAAGAGAAATATTGAGCTAATGATTAATAATTACTAGATTCAGGTGTCCTGATGTGAGAACATATTCTCAAACATAGTGTATTTGTCTATAAATGTTCTTATGTTCATCATATAAGATTGCACAATTTCTTATTTATTTATTTATTTAAACACAGTTAAAGGTTAGCACTCAAACTGGCTACTTATCCTGCTACAATGTTTTTTTTATACCATTAACTTCTGTTCCTGTAATGAGGATTCCAATTCCCACAATGCAATTGGCTTCTTCCTATATTCCTTCAGTAATATAAAAAATAGCAAGTAAATTTACTTGTTTTAATTGCTACTTACATGCAGTAGTAATCCTTACTGCAAACCTCCCTAAAAGAGCTTCACAGCATACGTGTAAAAGTAGCATTTGCCACATCCATCTTTCATTGCTTTGCTTCTCATGCTCCACCTCTTTCAAGTGCAAGTTTAGGAATTACTCTTTCTTCTATCATTGTGCCACACAGAGAAAGAATCCCCCATGCCAACTTCTGAACATGTGCCTCTGAATTCCTAATTCTCTAAAAGTTCTTTTTCTCATGAAAATCCCAAACAATAGCTGTTAACAATGTAAATTGGTAGTATTTCCTGTTATTATTATTTACTTATTTCTTTTTTCTTTTTTTCTTTTTAATTTTATAGAATCGATTTGATAATCTATTTCGGAAGTATATTACTTATACTGCTGGGGAAGAGCTTTTTGGTTTGCCTGTTACGCAGTATCATCAGCTACTGGAGATAAAGAAACAACTGAACCTGTTACACAAGCTCTATAACCTCTATAACAATGTAATTGACACAGTTAATGGCTACTACGATATTCTTTGGTCAGAGTTAGACACTGGAAAACTTAACAGTGAACTTCTGGAGTTTCAGAACAGGTAAGAAACTACTTATGTCTGTGAGATGCCTAAGATAGCTTTGTTACATCTTAAATAGGTTTAAAATCAGCAAACTAGTATCTTTTAATTGAAAACAATTGAAAAAAAATATATCCATTATTAACTTAAAAGAGTTTTTTTTTTAAAAAAAAAACTTTACATGTTGAGATTTACTGTCTTTGGATAGCTTCTCAGTTAACTTTTTTTTTTATTTTTTACAAGATTGGAATATAGATTAAGAATTAGTACTTATTTTACTTAAATGGAAGTTGCATTTCCTTTAGTCAGCAGATTCATTCATGATATCAAGATTCAGCCTTGTTTAATGCAGGTTAGCAAATTAGTGAATATTTTTGCTAAAAAATGAAATGCACTATATGCATAGCAGCTGAATTTTTCATCAACCTAGGAATCAAATGATTTAAAGAGTTAGAGCTGCCTGTTTTGATGAAAAGGATTTCTGCTAGAGCACTGAGCAGTCCATATCATAAACTTGGCCAAAAGATGAAATCAAGAAATAAAGTGGTCCAATTGTTTCTGGATGTCAGTTGGACAAAGCATACCGGAATAATGCAACTGCAGTCCATGTGGTGAGCGGAGGCTGTTAGCTATCAGACAACAAAGCAGAAAGGAACCAGGTTTTCCCACATACTGAATCACATGCAGAATCTTTAAAATTCCTTAAAATGAATTTAGAAGATATGTGGTCTGCCTTTAAACCTAGATATGGTAGATAAATGGGTAGCAGTCAGAACATCTGAACCTGTTTAATAAAGCTTGGATTATTTTTATGTAGGTGTCATAAACTTCCTCGTGCTCTAAAGGAATGGCAAGCCTTTCTTGACCTAAAGAAGACTCTTGAGGACTTGAATGAATGTTGCCCGTTGCTTGAGCGTATGTCAAATAAAGCAATGATGCCTCGGCACTGGAAGCGGATTACAGATCTCACTGAACATAATTTTGATGTAGAAACTGAAACATTCAAACTGAGGGACATCATGGAAGCTCCACTGCTAAGATATAAAGAGGAAATAGAGGTACTGGGAAGGAACAGAAATAAATGTATAAATGTATAAAACTAAATGTTCTAATGGAATGGTATCTGAGTCAAAATAATAAGGAGGAGAACAGATTTTTTTTTTTCTAAAGAAAAAAGAGGAATGGGCCACCACTTCACTTTTCTGCATAAAAAAAATGAAGAATGTATACTATGGTGTCAATGCCTCTTTTTAAAGCATGCAACTTGGCTCAGGAATTAGTTTGTGAGGGTGGCTTGCTTTGTAATATTGAGAGTATGAAATGTAATCACACTATCTTCCTTTTATTCCCACTATTTTTGGTCTTATTGTGATGTGGGGTATAGTTGTTAGCTATGATGTACATATGTCTGTAGATCTTTTCACTCAATAAATGATTACTCATAAGCCTAAGTACGTTAGTGGAAGTATCAGTTAGTTCTGGATACAGGAGGCTTAATCTGTTAATAGACTGTTTTGATGTGCTATTTATTTAAAAGGATATCTGCATAAGCGCTGTGAAGGAGCGAGACATTGAGCAGAAATTAAAACAAGTGATAGCTGAATGGGACAACAAAACATTTGTCTTTGCAAACTTTAAAACCCGCGGGGAACTTCTCTTAAGAGGAGACAGCACATCAGAAACAATTACTAGCATGGAGGACAGCTTGATGATTCTTGGTTCTCTCATGAGTAACAGGTAACAGGAATGGGGAGGGATATAAAAACTGGCAAGAAGCCTTGGTTGACTGAACAAAGCTGTCTTCCGCAAAGAAGAAAAGTAAACATCTAAGTCAAAACTAACAGATTGCTTATCCTTGAGCTGTGCATGGGCAGCTTCCTGCTGCCTCTATCAGTGCTTTAAGCGCTTCCGAAAGGAAGTGGGTGCAGTTCTGACTTCCTGACTAATCACCATGATGGTTCCCTGGCTGCAGGGTGGTAGTGCTGAGGGTGAAAGGATGGTTCCCTGGAAATGCCTGGCAATGGCAGGGGTCCTGCTGGCCTCATAGGCACTGCTACCCTGCTGCTAGGTGACCACTTCTCTTGTAGAGCCCATGGCTGAAGAAACAAAAGATTACAGTTAAAAGGAACTTCATTTTGTTCTTTCTGTGTTCTTTCCCCCAGAAAAAGGAAGGAACACAGAACATGATCCTCATTTGAACATGCTCAGAAACAGGACCTGGTCACTGGGTGTCTTGCCGTTTTCAAGATGTTGTGTATTCCTTTGTGTAGACCCTTTGTGAAACTGGTTTAACTTAGAGTAAAATTTAGATCTTGATGCTGTTCAGCTCCTGTTGGATTAGAGTTGCACTAGACACCCAGTGTTCAAGCAGCAAGTTGGAGCTGATTTGATTTACACTGGGTTGAGTCTGGTACAGGATTGTGTTCTTCCGCTTCACGAAATTACAAGTGGCAAAATTGCTTCTTATGTTTTGAGATTTGTGCTTCTTTTCAAGAAGTTGTTTGCTTCTTGAAATAAAACAAGTGTCCTTTTTATTTTAGATACAACACTCCATTCAAGACACAGATTCAAAAATGGGTGCACTATCTTTCCAACACAACAGACATCATTGAGAACTGGCTGACTGTACAGAACCTGTGGATTTACTTAGAGGCTGTTTTTGTTGGTGGTGACATAGCAAAGCAGCTTCCAAAGGTTTTCATACTTACCCTTTTTTTTTTTCTCCCATATTTCTTTGATTTTTAAGAGTAAAACTTTGCTCAGTAACATAAGCTTCATTGTTTTAGTACTTAACAAAACTAAACTTGGTAAGACATTAGGTAAAAAATGCCAACAGAAAGAAGAATAAAAAATTTTGATTCAGCTCATCTTTTCATGTTGAAATTGTTAAACTATTGACCGATGTTTGTACAATGTTCGTTACAGCCTACCAGTACCTAAAGTTTTGCTAGGAAGTCTTATGTTAAGCTTTCCTGTATGACTTTCTGAAGCCAAAAAAAAAAAAATCCTCTTTCTGTTTTGGAAAAAATATAGTCAAATATGGAATATGTAGTTCAAATATAGTGAATAATGGAAAGGAGAGGGAGGAGAAAAAGCGCTTATTGCCCTTGACAGTGAGATATAAAATTGTTTGACTTATTGTTTAGGCTGAAAGATTGTTTTTTCCAACCTGAAAAATCCTTACTGTTTGGACTCCAGTGATTGCTAGTGAGAAGATTGCTAACTCTGTAAGCGAGTGCCTTTTCCCTCTTCTCTCATTTTCCTTCCATCCCTTCTCCTCTGTATTCATCTCCATGTTTCAACAGGAAGCAAAGCGTTTCTCAAACATTGACAAATCTTGGGTGAGGATCATGACCAGAGCCCATGAAATACCTAATGTTGTTCAGTGCTGTGTTGGAGATGAAATAATGGGACAGTTGCTACCACATTTATTAGAGCAACTTGAAATTTGTCAGAAATCACTCACAGGGTAAGACTATTTCAGGGTAAGAAAACTGTTCTGGGGAGATAGTTGCAAATTGTGTAACTTGACAGAAAGCAATTGCTTGTCCTGTGGACCTTTGCAAAGATCATGTTCTTATTCCAAATCATCCATATTTGATGTTCGTCTAAGCACTTACTATCAACTGCTGTTGAAACTCAAGCTGCTGCAGCCTAGTTTCAAGCCAGCAAGCAGTCTAGTTCTGTCTATGCTACTCTAACCTTACCACATCCCTGGGGTAAGCTCAGCCTGAGGGATCTGAATGGCAAATAACTGACAAATAATGAAAACACTTTCTGTTTAGTTTCTTTTCCTTTGAGTGATGATTACGTTCCGTTGAATAACAATAGCTTTCAGTGAAATGATTTCTGATATTAGAATAGTAGTTTTAACGCAAATGCTTAACATGAAGATATGATGGATAAGAATTGTTGTTATCATTGATGAAAATAGTGTGAATATATTGTGAGAAGTCCCACCCATAAGATGTAAAGGATGCATGAATTAGTCTACCTCACCTCTCATTTCCTTCCTCTCTCTCCCAATTTCTTTTAAATACAGGTACCTGGAGAAAAAACGTCTGCTGTTTCCACGATTCTTTTTTGTGTCAGATCCTGCTCTCTTAGAAATTCTTGGCCAGGCATCAGATTCTCACACTATACAGGCCCATTTGCTGAATATCTTTGACAATATTAAAACAGTCACATTCCATGAGAAGGTATGTGCTTTTCCAACCTCAGTATTCTTTTGTATTGTTAAGCAATGTGTGATATTACTAAATAGAAAGTTACCTGGGTACATGGGGCATTTGACTGTTTTACAAAGCTTATCATTTACTTGATGCTCTGTACCTTTTCTTCCTGTAAGATATGGCTTAATAGCCTCATTTCCTTAGTGGGAAAACTTTATGAAGTATAGCAAAGCAAACTGAAAATTTTGGGCATGAGGTTTCAGAAAAAAAAAATGGGGATGAGAATTTTATGGGTTAATATAGCGTAGTGCCCTCTTAGATTACCTTCTATTTTTTTATTAAAATATTTGTTTTTTCAGATTGTCTGTATTTATATTTAGTCATCAATTTTAATTGTATAAAAAAATCCACTGTCTAATCTCTTATCCATTTCTGAATCATTGTTAATATTCTTTCAAATGAGTTGTTGAAGAACAGTTTTCCCATTTGCCTTTCAAGAACAGTTTGTAAGAAAGATGTTTCCTATATATTATATATCTAATGTTTTTATTAGACATTCTTTATCTCTTTGTGCTTTTGAAATCTCTTTGCTTGACCATCCTTAACTTTTCTTAACTTTGATTTCTGATAAAAGACCCCGCCTGGATGCCACCCTGTGCCACGTGCCCCACGTGTCCCTGCTGGAGCAGGGGGGTTGGACTAGATGATCTCTGGAGGTCCCTTCCAATCTCAACCATTCTATGATTCTGTGATTAAGGCGCTGCTAATGGGAAAGACAGTTCTGTATCATTATACTGCTACTGTGGATACTTTTTAAGAATTTTCAGTGTTCTGGTGTTTGTCTACTTGCTTAGCAGATATCAAAATGTTAAAGCCTTTCTGGACACTGAAAGTAATGATTTAATCCACTTTATGTATTGCTTAGCAGATTAGTATCATTTACTCATTACATAAACAAATTTAGTGGAACAATGGCTGGAAAATCATATAGATATGTTAGAGAAATGACAGTTTATCGCTGCAGTGGTAAATAAAAAACTGTTTTTTCTTCGTTTTGATTAGATATATGATCGTATATTGTCCGTTAATTCACGAGAGGGTGAGACTGTAGAACTGAGTAGACCTGTGATGGCTGAAGGTAATGTGGAAGTTTGGCTCAATTCTCTGTTGAAGGAATCGCAGGCATCACTGCATTACATCATTTGCCAGGCAGCTGCCAGCATCCAGGAAACTGGCTTCCAGTTGACTGAATTTCTTTCTACTTTTCCAGCCCAGGTAAAAGCATTATTATATTAACAAAGAATTGCTCACAGTCTTCGCAATTAAAATTGCAGCCAGCATTATAAATGCAAAAATGACAATCTTACCTTACCTCTTTTAAGTTTAAGTTAAAAGATTCTGAATTGAAGCATTAATATTTGTTCTTAAATCTTTATTATAATGTAAACTGTGATGAACAATTGTCAGCAGTGCCTCAGAGGCAAAGTCTGCAATACCAAAGTTTGGACATACCTATGTATTTTTGAAAGTGATTGGACCACTAAATAAGTGCATGAGTTGAATGACCTCTGTATGGACAAAAAAGAAATATTCCATGCAAATACTGGTAGAACCGTTTGTTTAGGTTTTCACTGTCTTTGAATGTACTTCTTAGATGAAAGAGGCAATGTTACGAAGCATACTATTTTTTGCTTCCTAAGGTTGGGTTGTTGGGGATTCAAATGATTTGGACACGAGACTCAGAAGAAGCTTTGACTAATGCTAGGTATGATAAAAAGATTATGCAAAAGACAAACCAGTTTTTCCTGGATCTCCTCAACACGCTGATAGATATGACAACAAAAGACCTTAATGCAATGGACCGAGTTAAATATGAGACATTAATCACTATCCATGTGCATCAGAGGGACATCTTTGATGGTCTGGTAAGTGCTGAGTAATTCACAATGAGTTATGAAGTGGTCACTTAAAACGGCAAGAAAAGGCAGGAAGAAAATGTTCTAGTCTCTCTAGTCTAGTCTAGTATTTCTAGTCTCTCAAACTAAGCATTCAATTTCAGGTCTGTAATGATTATGTAACTAGAAATATTATAGAAAAGTACCTTGCAATCAATGTCATAACTTCTCTTAAGTATTTCAGGGTTTCTCTATTTCGTTTCTTTATTTCAGGCACTGGAATAATTTATTAGATATCTCTGCATGATCACTTACGGACTGTTTTTTTCTCATATATTACGTGTTGCAAGTAATAGTGCTTTCTATGGACTAAACTGAGTGTCCCAAGGAATAAATCGAATGAATGAGATGTTACAGTACAGGATAAAGCTTGCTGTTTTTGCTTCTAGGAGTTCTGTTCCAGTTTCAATAGCCTGCCTAATTATTACTAGTAAGAATCCTCTTTGGAGTAGACCTGCAAATTCTCATTAGCTTCTAGCTACTTATTCACTTCACACCTTATCATGCTGCCACAGGATACTAAAATTAGGAAAATAAAGGCATTTGCTACCTAAATAATCACAATTCAAAATAGCACACTTGCACTTTTTTTTTTAACACGCTTGGGAAGCTGTGAACCTGAGGTCTGAAATTAAGCTGCTTAAGAAAAGGATTGTTGAATTTTAATCTTACTGGGTTAAAAGCGGGCACACCCAGCTCTTTGTTATTGGACCAGTTCTTACTAGTAAGAATCCTCTTTGAAGTAGACCTGCAAATTCTCATTAGCTTCTCATTTACATACAACTTGTGGGACCTCTTTTTGAGTAGAAGTTTTAACACTCAGTTACTCTACTTTGAATTTCTCCTGGTAGGGTTGAACTTTTTAGCAAATATGTGTGTACCATGGCCTTTCTTAAAATACCTTTTCTAATGGTTTGTGTGCAGGGTCATACTATTCTCCTGACTTTTTGTGTTTAAGATAGAGTATTCTTCCTACTCAAATGGAAAAGTGGTAGTTAAAAGAAATGGAAATGCTAGTGCTAACTGGACTTAAAGAGTTTTTTTTGGAGATGATAGAATGTTAATTTTTATTATTATTTCCCTGCCTCTTTTCTTAGTGTTGCATGCATATCAAGAGTCCTACAGACTTCGAGTGGCTGAAACAGTGTAGATTCTATTTTAAAGATGATGCTGATAAAATGATAATTAGTATCACTGATGTGAGTTTCACATACCAGAATGAATTCTTGGGCTGTACTGACAGACTTGTGATAACACCGCTTACGGACAGGTGACAAAGACTGATTTTTATTCCTTTATTCTTTGACCCCAAATCTAGGCTTTTAGAAGTGTGGTTAAGTCAAGCCTGTTCGAGGCAAAATACAGCTCTGCAGAGTTTGTCTGCAGAGGGGTGCTTCAGTGTCTTATCAGAGTCAATGATTTTAAATGAAATTCATGAATATTTATGTTACTGTGCCATAAGATATTTCTGCCATGTAACTGCATGTTCCTCATGTGTATGATGTAGGTGAACATGATCCTCATTTATAAGATTCTAGTATATGTGAGAATTAGGTAAATCATACAGATATATATATGTATGCATGGAGAGGTAGGGAAGAATAGAGAGGAAAAACAATCATATTCAGCTGCAATAGATTTAAGATCTTTTTTCTAGGATGTGGAGGTAGTTGGAATCCTGTTTTGCCAGATAGGTCTACCTGCCTAACAGTAGTAGTAATATGAAGAATGCTTTAAAAGCTATCAGTGACAAAACAAGAGATTTAAAAAAATACTATTTTTTTTTGCTATTCCATACAGTAAATTCTAGAACTTTCTGTAGAGCTTGTGATAGCTGTTGTTTTACAGCATCACACAGAAGTTTCAGTTATGAAAACGGGATGCACTGCATGCTCAAATTCAAAGGTGGAAAGAAAAAAACCAGAAACAACTGTTTTTCAAGATCATGTTCCACAGAAAGTATAATGTAGCTCAGGCCTACTGCAGATGAAGTGATTTAAGAATTGAACTAGCCAAACTAGGCTGAGCAGGGTCGTATTATTTTGGCAATTTCCTGGCATCCTTAAATCAGGCCTTTCTAATTTCAGTTTTCCATAAGGACATCTAGTATATGCAGAAAACTGTTCATTGCAGTCCATTAAGTCATGATAACCTGTTGCCTTTCAGATGTTACATCACGTTGGCTCAAGCTTTAGGCATGAACATGGGTGGAGCACCTACAGGACCTGCAGGAACTGGAAAAACAGAAACTGTCAAAGACATGGGACGGTGCCTTGGCAAATACGTAGTGGTCTTCAACTGTTCAGACCAGATGGATTTTCGAGGACTCGGTAGAATCTTCAAAGGTAAGATGTAGCCTATGTGAAAGTTATAAAGGTCCTGAGAACATTTTTGTGAGCAAGATGAACACAACAGCAGCAGTACCTTTTTTTTAGCCTTTTAATGAATGCAATTAATTAGTATCTTGTCAATACCATCACACCACTGTCTCCAAGAAAGAAAAAAATATAAAAAGTATAAGCCAGTTTACAAGTCTTATAGTGATTGCCTTAAATTAAGCAAGGAGGACTGTCAGTGTGAAATGAAAAAGCCTTTTTCTTGAGCTGGTAGAATGTATTGGATGTGGCTTCTATATTTTAGCTCCTTACAAATGTCAGAATTTTGATTGGTCAAAGGAAATGCATGAAAGGCAGTGGAGATGGTAATTATTTTTAGGCACTAGAAGTTGATACCTGTTAATGATGGCATATGTGAAATTAGAGATAAGTGGAAGTCCATTGCTATTTAGCTTTTGAGTGCTTATATTGTTAAAAGAAAATCTTAACTGTGATTTTTTTCACCTCTGCCCTCTATCTATATCTCCCTGCCCCCCAAAAAGATTTGAGGAAGACTAGAACCGTCACCTCTTTTCAGGTGAAAGCTGTTTTACCGTTTATGTTAATCTGTCAAATAAGCTGTTGATGACTAATTTTAAAGACTTAAGTTCTTTTTGGATTTTCTTATGGAATTAAATAGGTAATGTGACAGGCATTTTGCTTGAATTTGTGAAGATTTGTAGCAGGGATTTTTTGGAATAGGAGAGGAACAGAATAAACATCCAAGATACTAAATGGATGAGGAGAGATCTAGGGATATAGTGACCTACACATAAGCCTGAGAACTTTTGGAACTTTGTACATTCTTGCTGAAAAAAGATTTAACTCCTCTCCTTGTCCCTTTCCCAGCACTTTTTTTCCCCCCTGAGGCAGATGAATGTGATTTTTGGGCTGATAAATTTCACCAAAAAAGGGCTAACAGCATAATAATAAGCTGCTTCATTGCTTTTCTCTTTAAAGGTCTTGCTCAGTCTGGTTCCTGGGGTTGCTTTGATGAGTTCAATCGTATTGATTTACCAGTACTATCAGTAGCTGCACAGCAAATTGCAATTGTGTTGACATGTAAGAAGGAACGTAAAAAAAGCTTTATCTTTACTGATGGGGATAATGTGGAAATGAACCCTGAATTTGGCATCTTTCTTACTATGGTACGTACTCAGCAAGTATATGATATGCCAGTGATGACTGTATGATAATCATTTCTAACCATCTCTAATGTATAAAACAAACACTGGCAGTTTGAGAAGTTGAACATGATTATCGAGACAGTTTACAGGGCCTTGTTTCAGTGTCTGCAACTAATAAATAGCCTAGTTTGCTGCAACAGAGAGTCCTGTAAGGACAAGTTGTTATCTCAATGTCACACTCCTAGTTTGTGTACTAGAATATTTATTCTGCTTCCAAAATATGCTGCTTCTTACAAATACAGAAAAATGATCATATTTAAGTAGAAGTAGCCAGTCTACTGTAGTAGTGTTTTATTAAGACAAATGAAATCTAGATTTGGACTGTTGAGAGATAACATTTTTCATACCTCTTGAATGTAAAAATTGCTAAAATACTTCAGAAGTCATTGCAGAAATGTGATGGTAAATATGCCTAGCAATTCAGTTTTATGTGTGATTTAAAGTAAAAGCTCCTTTTAACTGAACCAGATTATATGTTCTGTTGCTGAATCGCTGTAAACATGCAGTCCTTTTCCAAAGTTGTTCTTTTCTCCAGAATCCAGGATATGCTGGGCGGCAAGAGCTTCCTGAAAACTTGAAGATCAACTTCCGTTCAGTGGCCATGATGGTTCCTGATCGTCAAATAATAATTCGCGTCAAATTGGCTAGTTGTGGTTTCATTGCTAATGTTGTTTTGGCAAGAAAATTCTTCACACTCTACAAGCTGTGTGAAGAACAGCTCTCAAAACAGGTGATTATTTTCATGCAAGGAAAGGATGTGTTAGACAAAGGTCATGTATGGCAAGACAAGTTACTAAGATACGTGTGGAGAAAATAGGCAAGTTCATGTTCACCAAGTAAACTAAGTAACACTTGCAATTTAGCAGTGCAGCTGCTTGTGATTAAAATTTCTCTGTAGTGAGTGATGATGACTAATGCAAATTAAGGACTTAGCTATTAGTTTTTTTCCTGTAGAGTGAATTGAGAGACATTTGGTTTGTACAGCTTTATGTTTGTTCAGGTGTTTCTCAAATAAAATGAGTTTCCAAGGTGCCCGGTGAATTCAAAAGAACTTGTTTCTTGATAGTCCTTGGAGACCTTGTTTTGGCTCAGAGACTTGAATCTAAACTTACTTTGCTACTTCTCTTATTTCTGTCACACTGTAAAATTTAATAAATTACATCAGAAGTGGGGAATTAAATTGCTGCTGGTTATATAGCCAAAGGCTGATTGTTGGAGACATTTGTGCCACATGCACTGGTACTCATACATATCCATACATTGAATGATAAATATCCATACCTTGAATGATAAATATGGATTATGTGATCCCTTGTTAACCAGAAGTTTTTTTTTTTGTTTGTTTGTTTTGTTTTTTTTTTTCACGTTGCCTAGGTGCATTATGATTTTGGCTTGCGCAACATATTGTCAGTATTGCGGACATTAGGAGCAGCAAAAAGAGCAAATCCTACAGATACTGAATCTACCATCGTCATGCGTGTGCTGAGAGACATGAACCTGTCTAAATTGGTAAGTTTCAATAGCCCGATAAATTAATTTATCTGTACTTTGGGGCAAAGTGCTTTTTGGAAACCAAATTTAAATATATTGAGAAGATCTGCAGACGACTGCATCTGTCCTTTACACAGAAATTTGTCTGAAAGTGTGCTGTTCTCCTGATGGCCTTTTCTGTTCAGATTTTTCTTACATGTATCTCCTGCTGCCTGTAGAAGTAAGTGATCAAGTAGAAGTCTGTGTAATAAGGTCTTGCCTTAGGAAGTTTCAACCTAAGGTTTAAGTCTTGCTGCATTTAGACATTCTTTTAAAATAACTTGTTATTTCTGGTAACGAGTATAATCTCATATGTCTTCACTAACAAAAACTCTTCTACTGCTGTAATACCTCATTTCCTTTAGTCTTTTTATGTATATTAAACAAGTAAATGAATATTTGTATGAAATTAATTGCTAAAAACTTTTTAGTAAAGACTTATTTTAGTAAATTTAGCCTGCATGTTGGTGGTTTATTTTCAATATTGTATGTTGGAAGTATTACATGATCTACTTCTGCTGAGTTGTGCTAGTCTTCAGTGTCTAGAAGGTTAGCATCAATTGTTCTCGATGTTTTTGGAGATTTCTTTGTGCTTATAAGAGTTAAATATTTTCTTTTAAGGTGCTAGGAAAAATAAAATAAATTTTAATCTCTCCTTTCTTTTTTTGTTTTTACTTTTTCCCCTTTCACTAGATTGATGAAGATGAACCCTTGTTTCTGAGTCTCATTGAAGATCTGTTTCCAGGTATCCAGCTGGATAAAGTAGGCTATCCTGAACTAGAAGCTGCCATTGACAAACAGGTACTGCCTCTCTTGATCTGTACTGTCATGCTATAACTAGCACGAGATATCTAAAAAAATTGTTTATGTCGTATCTATCTAGTTGATATTTTGCTTTTTAGAGGAAAAATATAGTTTGCCATAAGTTGCTACCATTGGCATGTTTTTCTTAGGCCTATTGTCCCTGAATTGCCATTCTGGTTTTCTAGTGGGTAATCTGTGATTAATTTGAAGAATGCATATACATATATATAAATATAAATAAATATATATATATATAGTATGTATATATAGATATACACACACCTTCACCTTCCTTGATCAATACTTGTAAAACAAACAAAATGTGCATTTGAAAAAGGTTTTCCTAAAACATGATTTTCTTTGTTTGTCTTTTCAATACATCTCTTGGACCATTTCAGTAGGGCTGACATAAGTGAAATGTAGAGGTTATATATATACTTACCTGATAGTTAAGGGGAGAGATAAAAAGTTAAGAAATATCAGTGTGAATAAAGTAAAAATACTGGAGGAATTTTGTGTACATGGCTTCTCATTTATTTTATGGCTTCCTTAGCAAGGAAGAGTTGAATCATCAGCTATGCGTATAAATCTGTTTTGCTTTCTATAATTTATACAGTTGAAGTTGAAAGAAGTACTTGTGTAAATTAAGCTTCCATTAAGAGAAACTATAAGTAAGACAAATCTCATACTTCAAAGTGTTACTTCCTAGTAAATTAAAAGAAGTCTTTGTTTTATAACAGAGCTCCATTGTTGGTTACCTGTGAAGCCAGATGTGGAAACTGTCTGCCCTTTTAACAATAAACCATTAAGTCTCCTATTGCTTGCCTTTAGGTATGGTGTAATGTCAGCCCATGCTGCAGGAGGTTGAAGACTTAGGATACTTATGGCTAAATATAATGGAGAGTGATAAAACTTCAGATCTCATGCTGCCATTTTTATGATGGACTGTTTGGAAATTTTGGCAGTTTACTTAATGGCTACTGCCTTTACTTCTCATATCCCTTAAAATAATCTGGAGATACCAGAAGTAGTTGGTCAGATTTTGTTTGCCTCTTGAGTGTGGATCAAGAACTTATTGGATAGAATTCTGCTCTGTTTTCAGAGCTATGATTTAATTTAGTATGCAGTCCCATTCAAGAGGACTGTTTTTATCAAGGGAGGGAGATAGGAAATGTTGGGAAAAGATCTTAAAGAAACAGTCATTAGTTCAAGTGCATTTCTATGTTTATATGTAGAACTGTTAACAGTGGCTAGACCTTTTGAGAACATGTCTGTGCTGCTTCTTTTGGATGCGAGAAATATCTAGTCTACAAGTGATCAGAGGACCGATGTGTTTGTTAATACTGTTAAGAAGAGATAGATCAATACTCATGGTACTGGATTAGGGTGAGAAATGTGATCTCACATATGATTATTTTGAGAGTCACATTTTCATTGCATCTTGAGTTTTTATAAAATCTTTAGACTCGAACAAATACATATAGTGTGCTCATAATATAGTGTGTACATGTAGTGTGTTCATAAGTGTGACTATTTAAGAAATAGTTCTAGCATTTCTTTACTCTCTAAAGATTACTTCCAGCTGAGATGCTTTCACCAGCAATGGCAATATAATTATAGCAAGATAGTGTCTCTGAGCTAGTACTTAGTGAAGAGTAGGAAATGGTCTTGTAATGCCTGATTTTAAAATACCATGTCTTTTCTCAGAAGGGAGGTATTAAATCTCTCCAAAGTCCATCTGTATAGTGAGAAATACTTATCAAAATGTTTTACAGAAGAGCTATTGGATTGTATTTAAGGAACTTTATCATTAGAAGCGTATTAGAGACATCATAGTAAAAATAAAAGACAACTGTTCTCAGAGGTCATAATCAATTTTGACTATGAAAGAAATTGCTAGTAAGAGCATTTCTAAAATTCTTAGTTTGTTCTTAACATGGGGTTTAAAGACTTAAAAAGAGAGCAATAGGCAAAAAAATGATCATTTATTTTAGTTTTATTAACCTGAATAGAAAATAACTTTTGCTTTTCCAAACAGTTTTAATATATTCACTAACCCTTACAGAGAGGGTACTCTTTTGCTAAAAATAGATTTTGTCTGAAATATCAAAATGTCTCATGCGCAAGAATGACGCTGATCTGGACTTCTGTCATGATCTCTAGGTAGAGGAAGCTGGTCTTGTTTGTCACACTCCTTGGAAACTGAAAGTTATCCAGCTGTTTGAAACCCAGAAAGTAAGGCATGGATTGATGACTCTAGGGCCTAGTGGTGCAGGAAAAACACTTTGCATCCACACTTTGATGAAAGCCATGACAGGTATGTGAGCATTTATTTGTAAAGCAATATAGACTTCTGCTCGGTGTCTTCACAGAAAGCAGCAATTACTTCACTGCTAAGACAAATTACTGGAAGAATGAATTTCAGGGTATTGTGACACTAAATATGGCTATGATCATATGTTGTAGAAGCTTTTCTGTTACAAAAAAAAAATAAGCCACAAAAATGTCTGACATTAGAACTTCAGAGAGAGAGACTGTCTAAAAAATATGCTATTTTCCATGCTCTGATACTTGCATCAGAAATTTTTATTCTAGAAATACTGAGAAAGAAGAGTTCAGTCTGGGTAGGCAGCAGGACAAATGGCTAAAGCATTCATAGGTTCAGCTAAGGTAATGCTGAAAGCATCCCTCATCATAAGTACTTAGGCCTTTTTGAACATAATTTACAAGACAAGGTCTTCATCTGCAGTATGAAGTAACTGTTTCTGCTATCGTTGTTGTTATGAAATTGTTCCTGGTTTAGACAGCAGCAGAGTTTTCCAGTCTATTTTGTATCTTGGCTGAGCACTGTAAGAATGTGGGTTTTTGTCCTCTGTGCTTCTAAACAAAATCATTATTGGAAAAACTTCTGTTTGATCATATCAAACTAAGAGCTCGTGTTTGTAGAAAAGCACTTTTTCTGAAGGGACCTTCTTCATCCCTTTTTGCAATCTTATGCAGCTTATGCAATTTTCTGGAAATTGCTGAAGGGACCTTCCTCATCCCTTTTTGCAATCTTATGCTTATTGCAGCTTATGCAATTTTCTGGAAATTGATTGCTGAAAAAATATTCAATCAATCTTGCCTGTTCCATGCAGTGCCTTAGTGCACTTAACACTGTAAGCTCTAATTTCTGGTATAAATGGATGTTTCATTAAAAAAGAAAGGCAGAAAGAGAAGATAATTTCATTAGACTGTTTTCCCATACTTCCCTGGTATTGAGATATGAGCTACTAGTGAGACAAGGAAATTGCAGTACCTTTGTCAAGTTCTAGCATAAGCTCATGAATTGTAAAACTTCGCAACTGGCCATTCTTCTACCTTGCTTAAGATTTTAAGATAAACCAACTTTTTTAGCCCTGATGTTTTATTCAGCATGTTATTAACTCTTGATTAAATATTGTCTTGTCTTTTCTAAAGATGTTCAGCACAGGCACTTTCAAGCTTTTATTCGTGAAGAAATCATAAAGGTTAAATAATGAAGTTCTCTCTAGAATTTAGCTACCCAAAAAGAGATGTCACAGGTCATGCCAGGATCATTTGTTTTGCCTATTCTAAGGTGCACGCCAGTGCAGAAGAAAAAAAAGTCAGTCAGTCACGTGGAACATCTATCTGGTATTCTCTTGTTGAGTTCTTTAAAAAGTGCATCTAGACCAAACTTTTCAGACTTTATTGTTCAATAAACCTTCATATTATTAAACCTTGAATAAACCTTGAATAAATTTCATCTTGCTACTCTTCTGTTCTTGATGAATCCATGAAATACAAATTATCCTTTCACAAATTCTAGAGCTTTGTTCTGCTTTAAGTATCGATGGCTCAGTTAACAAATGGTGGTGTATAGAAAGAGGTGAAATTTCCAGTTAAACACATAGTTTGTTATAAAAGCAAATGGGGATTAAATTATACATTTGGGTGTAATATTTTTGAATTTGTTCAAGTACTCTGACTATCAAGCAGAAGTACTGAAACTGACTGCTGATCTAACTTCATAGACTGTGGACAGCCACATCGTGAAATGAGAATGAATCCTAAAGCTATTACTGCTTCGCAAATGTTTGGTCGTCTTGATGTGGCAACAAATGATTGGACGGATGGAATATTTTCAACACTCTGGAGAAAAACTTTAAGAGCCAAGAAAGGTATAAGACAAAAAAAAAAAAAAAAACCTCCCTTGAAAGCAAAACATTGTATAGGTCATCTTTCAAGTGCTATTTGTGTATGTGTGTGTTTTATATATATATATTTTATATATATGTATTTAATATGGAAATATTGGAATATAGCTGTAAGGACTTTTGTCACTTGTATCTAGATGCTGTTCTAAATGCTTTGTGTTCAGACTGAAGTGTAGCACATATTGTTTGATTAACTTCACTGGTTCTTCTTTTTGAAATGATAGACTTTTACATGGAAGACAAGCAAAAGATCAGAATCACTTCCCCCAGTGCTAGTATATAATACACCTTTTGGTCAGGGTTTCCATCTGGTCTCCAGTTGCTGTTCCAGAGAAGGGACACTTGCAAAAGGTAGTTCACAGGTGAGAGCGGGACCATCTCTGATTAAAGGTATAGCAAGGTTGTGACAAACCAAACTTACTCAAACTGAGTGAGTTGAAAGCTGTTCCCTCCTGTGACACCAAGGAAAGCATTAGTATGCATATCCAATAATAAATAGAAAGAGAGATTTCAAAGAAAGGTGGATCAGGTTTATAAGCAGGAGAATAAACAATAAGTATCTGTTCTTAATGGACCTCTCTTATTTATGAAAGAGCATGCTATTTGAGAGAGTGGTTTTCAAGTGTTCCTTTCATTTAATCTTAGTATATTGGCTCAAATGCTTTGGAAACAGATAAAATCTTAAATGGACCAATATTTCCTATCTTTTTAATGTTGCCTTATATAAGACAAAAAAAAAAAAAAAGAATTACTGAGTTGAAGTCCAAATACATAAAACCGCTTCAGACTATTACAAACTGGTGGCTTATGCTGATGACACTTTACATACCGAGCATTGGATAATTATTGTGATAAGGTGACAAAATGAAGTACTTAATGGAAATCGAGTGATGGAAATGGTAATTAAATTAGTGAGCTGTGAATGTGAAGTCAAAATTAGTTCAAAATACGGTCGATAAGAGAAGAAACTTGTCTTTTTAAAGAAACTAAAGCATACTGTATAGGGTTTTTTTTGCCTCCCCCCCTTTTTTTTATATTGTAGGTGACCATATCTGGATAGTTCTTGATGGTCCTGTTGATGCTATTTGGATTGAGAACCTTAATTCTGTCCTCGATGATAACAAAACTCTAACACTAGCAAATGGAGATCGTATACCTATGGCACCAAATTGTAAAATAGTCTTTGAACCTCATAATATTGATAATGCTTCTCCAGCAACAGTTTCAAGGAATGGAATGGTATTCATGAGTTCATCAGTTCTTAGCTGGAGCCCTATTCTTGAGGTACAATAGCTAAGTGATTATTTTACTTGCTTATGTATTATGAAGTTATTTTTATCAGTCTTTTATTGCAAGAGAGTAAAAGCTCTTTACTGTTTTTACTTTAGGACCTATTTTTTGTGGCTGTTGCTATGAAGTAGCTTTTAGACAGTATAAACTTGGAGCTGAGTATTTAGTAAAGCACTACTTCAGGTAGCTTTGTACAAGAGTGAATAATGTATTCATTTAGGAGGATGGTCAACATATTGCACTCTTAAAAACTTGGATATTTCACTTGTGGACATGTTTGTAATTCAGGGCATTTCTGACAGTTGAGAAATGACTCAGTTGTCAATACACCAGCTGTGTGAATCTGTTAATGCATCTTCAGACCAAGGGAGAAAGAGTAAATAGGCTAGTTCAGAGACCTAGCAAACCTCAGGAAAATATAGGAGCTCTTGATGTTTCATAAACCTTACTGTAGTTGGGATTTAGAACCAGAAACAAAGCCACTGCAGCATCAAAGAATAATTTTTAAATTGGTGTTCTTATCTAGTAAGCTGCCCACTGAAATTCCTAGAAGCAAGCACTGGTTACTCTGCCTCTATTCATTGGCTGATGTGGAATGAATCTGTAATAAAAGAGGTGTCTGCTCTCTTCTCTAATTCTGATTTTATGTACATAACAGGTGTGCTTATTGGTAATTCAGTAAAACCTATACCAACTTGTAACAGAATCTGTAATTTGGAGCTGTGCATCCAGTATAGGTTAATATAATATATTAGTAATTTATAGCTTAATTAATATTATACTGTTATTATATGATAATTAATAATATAGCAAGATATCTCATTTACAATTCAGTTCCCTACTTAAATTCTTCGAAAACCACCCAAAATCTCTAATTCCTTTGGCTTCTTTCTCTTCTTTTCCATCCATAGTAATGCACCTGAATCATCTGCTTTTTCCTAATCATTAAAAATTAATGCCTAATCCTATCTTTTCATCTGACTGCCCTTGGCATTCTGTCTCTAATGCTTTGGGATGTTTATATTTTTGCTTGTAACTGGAGGAAAACAATAAAAAGGATGGAAGGGGCATTCTTTTGCATGGACAGCAAGCCTTAGGAAATAGATGCAATACAGTTTTTATATGTTCCTGCAAATTTTTCCCTTCTCAAATATTTTATGGTTTCAAAAATCCACTTCATATACTTTATTCCACTTGAAGGTTGGGGACCACAGGGTTTTCTTTTCCTTGTTCTACAAACACTTGAAATTTTTCCAGTATTACCTTGATTTCTTGATTTTCTCACTAAAATATCTCTCTGTCAAAAATACTCCAGGAGAGAGAAACATGTTGTCCCATTGCTCTGGCTGCTCATATGTTTCAGGATTACCGCACAATTTTGAAAATGGATCATTAGAGGGAAAGTGTTTATGCTTAAGGTCTGTATAAGTAGTATTTGGTAGCCACATTCATGTCACCTCAAAGCCACCAGAAAGACCAAGGGAAGACTTTTATAAAGTTGATGGTATTTTTGGACACAAATATTACAGCTTAGGTGCTAAGAGATGAAAATTTCATCTCTTAATGAAGATAGCAATAAAACAGTTATTAGAAAACCATGTTTCCTCTTACATTCTGCCTATGCTTTACATAATGATCAATCCTAATATTTTATGTTCTTGACTTCTTTTCTCTTGTCCAGTATCTTCCAGCAATCAAAAGCATTTACACTAGTTCTCTATAAGACTTTTAATTGAAATGCTTATTTTTTCATAATTCTTCTTCTTCAAACCAAGCTACAGTTTGGTTAGTTTGCTTCATCTTTCACAATCTGTATTCATGACCTCTCTATTCAGATAGTTTGTGTGCCCTTTTATTTTTATTTTTTTCTTAACTGTGGCTGCTTAGTATTTGATTAACAGCAGGACAAATTCTACAACACATTTGATTCCTTGCTTAAGCCCTCTAATGAGATACCTAAACAAGCTACTTGCAAATTAATTCTCAGTATATACTGGACTTCTAAAAGGAATGTATATCTTGGTCTTTTGCATGCAGGAGTGGGCCAACTGTGTATGCGTGGTAGTAGTCCTTCCCCTTCCCCTCCCCTTTTCTGGGATGTCATTCTGCATGTTTTAGAAAGTTACCCAAGGGGAAATATTAGTGACTCTCGTTTTAGGATAGCTTATTTATATTTTTCCTGAGCTCTTATAATGTTTGTGAGAGTTCTGTTTCAGAAGCCAATACATCATCACATGCTGAAATTGGTTTCAAAAAACTTTACAATTCTTGATGAAAGGAGCAATATATATAGAATGGTATCTGTCAAGATAATTTTTTGCTGATACTTCCCAGCCAAAGAAGTAGATCAAAAAGCTATTTTTATGTCCTAGCCCAACTGTTCAGCAATTAGATCTGTGGGTTTGATCAGGTCTGATTCATCAGTCTAGTGCAGATGTCATTCCTGTGACCTGATCACAGTCAGGTGATAGAGCCTGTGGTTTCTAGTCAGTTGAATTGTGGTTTAGTCCCTGAGGCAATATTTCCACATTATTTTTCACTGTTTAAATAAGAGCAAATTCCTTACAATAATGTGCCTTTTTTTTTTCTTAAAAATGTTAATGTTTCTGCGGAATACGTCTTTTTACTTATGAAAACAATAATTTTCCCGTATTTATGTTCTTGCTTTGCTCAAGTGTCACTGTATTTCTTTAGTATTGCCTGAAACTTTTCCTTTTTATCCTGAAACTAGATAATATCTAACTGGCTATTTAATCACCGCTACTTAGCAATGATCAAGAATCATCACTAATTCAGCTAATAGATTTGTTTGCCAGGTCCAAAATGCTTGCATTTCTGAACTGCTGGTGATGTTCTTAAGTAACCCTGCTATTTATTCTTCAGTACTTTGTTTTTCATGTACACATTTCTAGGAAGCTTTTTCATATGCTTACATGTATGTAATCAGCTCAGGAGTCTATTTGCATTGGACAATAGAACTTTAAATTAAAAAAAAAAAAGATAACAAAAAGTGTGGAAAAGGTTTTGCATAGAATCAGAGATATCTGAGTCAAGAAGGGGCCTCCTGTGATCACCGAGTCACACCCTCCTGACCCACCCTGCTCACTGCAGGGTTGACTAAGGAGGTCGCTCTGGACAGTGTCCTGTCAAAAAAACTAACATTTTGCAGATTAAATCAAACCAGTGTTCAATATCTGTGATATTCTTTCTTTGCAGAGTTTGATGTAAACTTTTAAACAGTTGTAATGATTAAGTATAATATTTAAAAGAATATTTTTGAGCTGCTGAAAACTTTGAGGACTTTTATTCTTCAATAGTTGTGCCCAGCATTCAATAGGTGTTATCCATATTTAGGTAATGAGTTTGACCTTCTTGAACCCCTGGAAAAGAAATCAATTATCTGTGCTTGCCAAGATACTTGAATGAAGAGAGCTTAATTTATTGAGACGTGCATTGGTAATTACATTTATTTTCTCACCGTGTTTTGTAACAGGGATTTTTGAAGAAGCGTTCCTCCCAAGAAGCTGAAATTCTGCGCCAGTTGTACACATCTTCATTCCCAGACCTCTATCGCTTCAGCATTCAGTCTCTGCAGTACAAGACGGAGATGTTGGAAGCCTTTGTGATCATGCAGAGCATTAATATGCTCCAGGGTCTTATCCCACCTAAGGTAAAGTAGTGCACTTGAAATTTTTTTATTTAATATAATCAAGCTAAGTGTAAGTTACAAAGGTATATAGAGAAATTTTTTTGTTAACTTCGCATATGAAGATTCAAGTTAGTGGGAAATACCTTCTTTTTCTTCAGACAATAACAGTAGGATATGCCCACATTTTGATTTGATGGTAAGAACTGGCACATAGCATGATTCAGACAGCAGTTTTCCTTCTTTTTTTGGTTATATTGTTATCGAATTATAAGATGGAATTTAAACGGGTTAAATGCTGTAATGGGCGATTAACAGGACATTTTCAAGGTACATTTTGTGGTCTGCTTTATATTGATACAGTGTCTTCTTTAGATAAGTGTGTTCAAAAGCATTGCTGTTCTTCATTATTTACTACTTACCAGATCACAATCAAAAATATGCGAAAGATTTAATGTTGCCATTGTTTCATATATACTGTTTTTTAATAGATAATGAAGTAATAGTAATGAAGTAATGCTGTGTTGATTCACTGTCTCAAGCATTAGTTTCCCCCTGGAAACTATTGTTCTGCTTTTGCCTTCACTTTCTGCCTGCTCAACTATGATGGTTACTACTGGCATCAAAGGGAAGAGAGATTAAACAAACAAGAGCCCCCTCCACCTTCCAAACAAATAAGAGGAACATCTCAGTAAGAAATGTCATCTCAGTAGTTACCTAAGCTGAGCTTTGTTCTCAGCTCCCCTGGCGTTCCTCATTCTGTGAGCTTAATTTTCTGGCCTATTTTGTTTCTTTCCATGGGAAATTGTTGCTTAGACTTGGTTTAGGCAGTATCCGCTGAAAGCAAGTTAATAGGTGTGCATTTTATTTGTAAGTAGTGATTATCAAATAGATTTTTTCTTAGTAATGTCAGGCTATTGAAAATAAAAACTTAACTTAATCCTTCAGGAGCAAGGAGGGGAACTGACTCCAAATTACTTGGAAAGGCTGTACATCTTCTCTCTTATGTGGAGTGTAGGAGCACTTCTAGAACTGGAAGATAGATGCAAGATGGAGCACTGGCTTCGAAATCACGCAAGAAGAAAGCTTGATCTTCCTTCAATTCCTGAAGGCAGTGAAGATACCATGTTTGATTATTACGTGGCATCTGATGGTTAGTAACCCAACTGGGTGCTGTGAGGTAAAACTTGGATGTTATTTTAAAAATTTGCCTCAAAAAAAATCCTCTAGCCTGTACCTTTTTATTTTGGGTAAAGTTTTTCTCTGTTTCCACTGAGAAATCAGAAAATGGATAAATGGCCACAGAAAGTTACGTGGACTTTGTATCAATGATTGTCAAATGAGTAAAAATAGACTAACTGGAAAATCTCACTGTTCTTGTCGTGATTTTGGAAAATAACTGGGACAGTGGACCATGCTGCTTCTCTTATGGGTATAAGAGGAGTAAGCCTCTTAGATAATCTTGGTCTGTAGAGAGTGGAGTCATTATTGATGGGACAGAGATTATTCTGACAGTTAAGTCAGAAGAATTGATGGAGAATAAGATACGTGAAGATGCCATATATTAGGCATTAAGTTCGTTTCTTTCTTATTAGGCAAATGGATGCACTGGAAAACACGCATTGAAGAGTATGTATATCCTAGTAACAGCACTCCAGAGTATGGCTCCATTCTTGTGCCAAATGTTGATAATGTGAGAACAGATTTCCTTATTGAAACCATTGCAAAACAGGGCAAGGTACTTATTCTGTATTTCACCCAATAATTATGCTAACTAAATGCACGATATAATTCTTGTATGAGAAGTAAAATACGACATCATTGAAAAGAAAGAGCTTCATTTTTGTGCTGTAAAACTATAATGGTCACTTCAGCAACAACATTCATGTAAATATACTTTGAAGTCTCAAATATTCTTTGTTTCCAACTTTTTGTGCACTCCTCCAATCTCTTGAAAGTTGAAAGTTCATTTTATATAACCCTTTTAGGTCCATGAAAATGGTGAGGCTTTGCCTATATACATGCCTCTCGTGATCCTATTTTGATGTTGTCTCTGTCTAGGCAGTTCTGCTAATTGGGGAGCAAGGAACTGCAAAAACTGTTATCATCAAAGGCTTTATGTCAAAATACAACTCTGAAAGCCACATGACTAAGAGTTTGAATTTTTCGTCTGCAACTACCCCATTAATTTTCCAGGTATAGTAATTATTCTAATATGACGTGACTGGATTCTGAAATTAATGGATATACTAAGAATCTACCAGAAGCATGCTACTGGAAGTGGTTAACTTCCAGTTAACCAGTTAGTGAAAATAACTGTGGGGAAAGAAAAATAAGCACTAAGTCTGATGGACTAAGTGATCCTTTGCTATTTATTGAGCTGTTCTGAGGCTATTACCCATGTATATCATTTGCTTTATCATACTTAGTCTTTTTATGTCACTCTCAGGCAGTTCTCACTACCTGTGTGGATCTGTCAATGAATTCCCTTAAATTTCACTAAAACCCTTGTGTAAACTAAGTGCTAACCACAACAGTCTGCTGTAAAATGTGTGCAATGTATAATTAATTAAATTACACATTAAAAAGTAACACATGCAGCTACTTTAAATATAACCATGAATATTTAAATTTTGAACTGTACTGCTTGTCCAAATTTCTACTGAGATACTTTTAATTACTTCAAGATTCTTTAAAACTGCTGGTGTTATGTATGGGTGGCATTTTTAATATTACTTGAGCACTGTATGTGTAGTACTGTAGTCAGAAATACTGTCTGTAAGCTCAGCACACAGTCTATAATCTGGGTAAGTAGCATTATAGAAACTATTAAACGTATCTAGTATCCAAGCACGTAACTTTGGTCTAATCTTCCTTTATATTTTTCCCTCCATGTATTTAAACAAAAACCAAAAATAAAAAAAGGTAGTGTCAGTCTGTCGCCTCACTCCCCTCTCTCTCTTTTCCCAGGTCTCGTTCTCATCCCCCTCCTTTCCTCCCTTCTCTCCCCTCTCTCCTTCATCTAAAAGATGAGTACTCCTGCTTTCAACTCCCATGCAGGTGCAGTAGTAATTGCAGCTATATGGATTTTATAGGGAATTAGCAGAATATGAATCTATATACAGATAATAAATACACTTTAAATTTCTCAGTAATATCATGGAAAATGAAAAACTGTTCACTCTAATTTTTGTACATACAAAGGAGGATCACAAAGAAAATTCACAAAAGAAAAATCCTCAAAGAAGAGCAGTAGTCTTTTCCTTTTAATCTGTTATTGCAGTAGTCTGTAACTTTAATAAATATAAACAGGATAAAAATTTGAGAGATTTCAAAATTCTAAAATTGTGCTGATTGCTTATTTTGAGTCTTTGATATATCTAATAACAACTTAATATTATATAGCTCCATATTTCAGACATTTTAGTGGAACTAGTGCAATTATCTCTAGCAGGTGTGGTATCTAAAAGTTTCTTAGTAAAATTCTGCCTAACAAAACTTTATTATATGTTTTTTGATTAATATGTTTAAATGTCTGAATTGTGTATGAATGGAGGGATAACTTCGCACTTCTAATCGCTGCAATTTTACTAATATTTGCTTTTAATAGCGTACAATCGAAAGTTATGTGGACAAGCGCATGGGAACAACATATGGTCCACCTGCAGGCAAGAAGATGACAGTCTTCATCGATGATGTGAATATGCCCATAATAAATGAATGGGGAGATCAGGTTAGTTTGTGAAAGAGGAAAAAAAGGAAAAAGGGTGGGGGGGGGAGTCAGGAAGGGAAAAAAATGTTTTATTTCTTTTCGCACAATAAAAAGATGACTTCTCAGGCAGGCAGTAGAGGAATATGTAGACTTTTTAAACGGTCTTTTTAAAGAGCTCATCTATACTTATATTGTCTTGAGCTTAATTAAATGTACTGACTAAAAAATCATTTAGGGTGCTTCTCAAAAACATGCCTGTAAAATTTTAACTATGTATTTTTTCTTTCCTAGCACTTATTGTTTGTTTATCTTTTTACTTGAAAGAAAACCCAAAAATCATTTTTCATGCAAATTCTGATTATTGCCTAAACTGGATGTTTAGGCAATAATTTAAAACAATGGAAAATGACTTTTCTGCATTAGAAAAAAAATGCAAAGTGTTGTTGTCTACTTTAGAAAGATACTTCACAAGTATATTTCATTGGAAAATAAAATGAGGTTCCAATTTCTAGATAAGTATACTCTTAGAAAGCTCTGTTTACTAGGTGTTTTCAGCTGCTGAGGACAAACAAAAGCTGAGCACTCATGGCTAAGAAATTTTACATTCTTTTGTATAGAAATAATCCTGCATTTGCAACATGAAAAACTATGTCATTTTTACGCATAGACATTTCATCAAAATAATTGACAGCAGATGCAACATGTCAGGATTTACTTTGGGCATGTTCAGAAAAAGCTGGAAACTTTTTGTTAAGAGAGAGAAGTATTTCCCTTACAACAGGACTGGGAATCATACAGCATTAAAGTCAGTTTGAATAGAGATGTGAATGCTTAATTCTAACCTAGGGACTCCTTTCTTCCCCCAGAGTTTTCTCTCATAGATATTACCAAAGGAAAAAGACAATCAACTATGCTAATTTCTGACAGAACAGTTTTTATTCTAAAACAAACAAACCCTTTTTTTTGCAAGAGAAGAAAATATAAAATACTCTATACAAGGTCTTTCACATAGGTATAGTTGTTCTGCAGGTCTTCTAATTATGTGTGTATTGTTTTGTTAAATACTACTTGGTTATCTTATAGGTCACCAATGAGATAGTTAGACAACTGATGGAACAGAATGGAGTGTATAATCTGGAAAGGCCTGGTGAATTTACCAACATTGTGGATATCCAGTTTTTGGCTGCCATGATTCACCCTGGAGGAGGTCGCAATGACATCCCACAGAGGCTCAAGAGACAGTTTTCTGTGTTCAACTGTACTTTACCTTCCAATTCTTCCATTGACAAAATTTTTGGTAAAGTGAAATTAACTTTGTATTCATGCTGTTTTTGAAAATACTAGTTGATTTTTCTTTATCTCTCTATTTATGTGTTAGGATTAAAACAGAGACTTGATCCCCCTCTGAATTGCCTACCAGTACATTTTCTTACGGTAATCACTCTGCACCTGCAACTTTATCAGTCATTTTCATTGATTAATCCTCACTTCATCAATAATGTTTCAGGCACAGTTGCTTCTCAGAGTCTGTTGGTATGCTGAGGGTTAGGAGGTATGGCATGAAGGCATCTCTAATTTTGCTGATGGTGCTGGAAAGTTGCTAAGGACTAAGCTGCAGCTGGTGATGAGGCTTTCACGAAGTCCAGGATCACATTGTTCTGCAAGGAGGGATTCAGTCTGCAAGTGCTCTAGTAGACTGGGAGCTTTCTTAACAGCCCATCAATAAGGGGTTAAACACCTAGTGGGTTAGTGGCAGAAGAGTGTAGGACCCAACAGATTCAAAAAACAAGATTATGAAGCCCTTTTATAAAAATAAGAAAGGTTTGGGGATTTAAAAGAAAAAAAAAAGTAAAACTAGAAGATATTGTAGCTCTCACAGTTGTGCAAATGTTTCTTAGAAGATCTTTTACTTGGTGATTTTCTCACTCCCAGGTGTAATTGGAGAAGGTCATTATTGTAGAGAGCGGGGCTTTTCAGAAGATTTGAGAAAAACAGTAGCCAAGTTAGTGCCACTGACGCGTCGACTATGGCAAAGTACCAAAATCAAAATGTTGCCCACACCAGCCAAGTTCCATTATGTCTTCAACCTTCGAGACCTCTCAAGGATTTGGCAAGGAATGCTGAAATCTACTTCGGAAATGATCAATGAACCAGATGTAAGTGTTGACATTTGTGCCCTTGTTATAATTAGTATATAAGTAGCATAATAACAAGGATGAAGATCTAACTTGGGCTTTTGAAGATGCATTAGAAAATGATTCTTATTTGACTGAAGAGGACTTTAAGCTTTTTTTGAGGCAAGGACATTTTTTTTTTTTCTTTTTCTTTTTTTTTCAGCTTTTGCAGTGCATAGTGTAATGAGAATTTTGTTTTGTAACTTTGATATAAACTGGTTCTTTTGACAGAAAAGTGTTTCCTTTGCAAAGTAATAATGTCCTGTGACATTATTACTGATGAATGGTAGCTTATTCAAAAGCAAGGAGCAAGGAAAATTATGAAAAGCAATGAAATTTAACTTAGCCCAAAGAAAATGCGTGCACCTTATTTAAAAAATATCTCCCCCATCCAGTCAGTGATTTGAGGCTCTCACTCATGGCCTAATAATAGTCTTAACTATCTCTGGTTTCTGGTTTATAGCTTGAAAGAAAGAGGAAATAAGTCATAGTACATTCTTATTCTAATCCACCTTTTTTTCCAGAAAAACTCAAAACTTTATGCATCATTCCTCTTTTAATTATTTTAAGAAAAAGCCGCTTAATGTTTTGAGCACTGAAACATGAAGTGCTGCAAAGTACTGTGTGTGGTAATTTGTTATACATTTGGGTTATATAATCATGTGAGGTTTAGTGTACTTCCCTGGCTGTTGAGTAATCTCTTGATGCTTACTCCATCTACACTTTAAATTTTAGAATTGATTGTAATTTATAAAGCTAAAAATATACAACACTGAGATGATTTTATATATTTATATATACACACACACACACACACGTATATATTCTCAATTAGCAATTTTGAAATATAACAAACAAGTTACCTCAATTCTCATAGAATAAATTTGCATACTAGTTCTGAGAATTCATGTAGTATGCCTAATTTCCACAAAGCACTGCAGCCTCAAACAAGTTTTCAAGGAGGAGTACTTGGAATTTTTTCCATTACTGTGTATAAAACCAGTGCTGCTCAGAACTTTGTGTTCTTCCTTTCCCCAGTTTCAGGCTAAATGGAAGAACTTTAGAGACGTATTGAATTTGGAGAAGAAATAATATGAGCACTTTCACATTTTTTTTCTTTAACTTTTCCTATGCAAACAGGAGTGACAGAATATCTGTTTTTGGTATGAAGTGATTTCTGCCCTGGTGACGTTATTTTCACCTGCCTCCCATAGTGGCTCAGTTATATTAGTAGTTTCTATATGTGTGTACATGTGCTGCTGCAAATACAGATCCAATCTTAGAAGTGAGGGAAGAAAACCTTGATTAGGTAAATATGCTACATTTTGGAGTACTAGATTAAGGCTTCTTGCACAGTAAACTGAATGCAAGTCCAAAATGCTATTGGCCAGAGTGATTCCAGTGCATTTCTCCTGACTAAAAAAAGAAATACCACTGTTTCTTTTTGACTCTTCACATGATTTTAAAAATATTTTAGAAGCATGCATTTTGTTGGTATAACTTTGTTATAATCTGTTTTTTTTTATTATTATTTTTAATAGATACTTATAAAACTGTGGAAGCATGAATGTAAGTGTGTTATTGCTGATCGCTTCACAAACTCAGAAGATATAAACTGGTTTGACATGACTTTGGCAAAACTTATTGAGGAGGAATTTGGAGAAAAAAAATCTTTGCTGGATTCTGCTACATTCTTCGTTGACTTCTTAAGAGATGCTCCTGAAAAAACTGGTAATGGTGGGCTTCCTGATAACTATGGAAATGACAAAAATATATGGATAAGTGGATAAAATCTATGCTAATGTAATGGATAAAAAATATGCTAATATATTAGCATATATTATCAGGGTGTCCTGCAAATGCATAGTATGACCATGGTCCAAGGATGGCTGTCCTGTCCAGCTACTTTGAACAGAATTCAAGTCACTGCCTGAGGCACACCTTTATATTTGTGGGATTTTAAGTTCCTATGTATACCCAGATCATCTAAATAGTACTGCCTTTGTTCTGTTTCCATCAATGTAGCAGACTGATAAAACTGATAAGTGAAGTACATGAGCCTTTTATTCTAATACGGTGAAGGAAGGGTGGTACAAATGTTTGAGGTGCTGTTGTAGTACTGGGTTAGGATAGCACAATAGCTACCATCCTTTAGACACCCGGTAAATGAGGACTTATTCACTATTCTCTAGGAAAGACTCATGATATATGCCTTTGTGTTGAATGAATATTCTTCAAGTAAATGGAGAAAAACCTCTTGACTTAGAAGGATGTCCTTGCTTCTTTTAAATCAAAATGCTGTGTACCTGGCGTGGCTGAATAACCCAGGAGCACTTCTTAGTTGTAGCACAGGTAAAGGAGCTAGACAGTTGTTTGGATTTTTAGTGAAGTTAATTATTAAAACCCCTTGGGATTCAGTTGTCTGTGTCCCTGTGATTGTAATGATGCATAGTGAAAGTAATAAAAGGTGGGCATGAGCTGCCAAATGCCTTTTAAACCTTTTGGACAAGTAAAGTAGTAAGAAGGCTGTGCAAAAGGAGAGAAGGGTTAGAAATCTATTGAGTGGAAGGAATTAAACAGAGTTGCAAAAGCTTTCAAATATGTCCTTAAATCGCTTGTTAAACGGGGGCAATGTAGAGAGGACTACAATGTGAGCCAATACACATATGGCCAAAAGCAAAGAGTAACTCCTAATGTGAAAATTTGAAGCCATACTAGAGATCATCATGTTTAACCAAAAAATAAGTGCGTTAAGAAGCACTGTATTTCTGAAAACAACTTTCTTCTTGGTGACTATTTAATGTGCCTCCCTAGTAATTGTTTTTTTGCAGGAAGTTTAATCTAGATGCATCTGCAAAGTGGGGGACCCCCATTTTGAAAGGATGTGTTTGCTCCTCAAAATTTAGGCAGAGGCTTTAGTTACTCTTTCCTGTTTTGGCTGGGTGTGAAGAATAACAACTGTTCTTTTGTTTTAATTGTCCCTTTAAGGCACATAGTCCTAGCACTTCAGCATAACTTGTAAGAAAAGGAACTGCAGCTGGGGTTGTGAGTTCTTAAATGGGTAAACAAAATACATTTGGTATGAATTTAGAATAACTCTATGTTTAATTTAGTGATGCAATGGCATATATGTCCTGTCTCTACTGTCACAACATATTTCTCCCTGATAGTGGAGACCTGAGATAAAGTACTGGAACATCAGCTTTTGGGGGCAAAGCTTTACAAAACATTTAGTATTCTTGAGATCCCCAGAGTGTTCAAAGATGCTTTTTATTAATTAGTTTTGGCATTACTGTTTACTGCTTGTGATCCTAAACCAAGGGAATAGAGAAGGGTTCAAAATAACATATTACACCAGCTGCTTCTGTAAATAATTTACATGTCTGCCCTCTCGAGCTTGATACTTGATTGTGGTTTCTTTTGACATTAATAATAAAACTGCAGGGACAGGATGAAGCTGATACAATTCTATTAAATGGTGGAAAATTGTGAAACATCCATATTGTTTACTCTGTGCTATATTTATTATTAGTTTCTTACCAGCAGATGTTTAAATGCTTATTTGGCTTTTAAGAGACTTATTTCCACCTGGAAACAGTTCTTTCATTTAACCAGTGTTTTTACAGGTTAAAATAAGAACTCAGATAATTTGAGTGTCATGTTGATGAAAAAAGACTGTTTACACAGAAACAAAATACAGCTGAAGAATCCTGACGTATTGCTCCTTCTCAGAAATTTTCATTGAAATTCCCATGACCTCAGGCAATACAAAGAATACCTCCAGCAGCATGAATTACCCGTTTATTTGAGGGATTTTGTTCTGTGGTAAAAGGCAATTTTCTTAGAACGTGTCTCAGGATTTAGCAAAATATACATAGACCTTTATCTTGGAGATTTGCTAATCTGCTAAATCTCTCTGCTAAAAGCAAAACAAAAAGTACGCCAGAAGCAAATGGAGACAAAAATCAGATGAGAAGAGGGTCACAGCTACCATCCTAAACAAGCACCGTTGATTTTTTTATTTCTTCCTCTCCTATCCTTTCCCCCACCTTCCAATGCATTACTAAGTGTTAAGTAAATACTTAATTCACGGGTTTACATTTCTTCCTTTTTTTTTTTTTAATACTATGAAAAATATATATTTTTGCTTATTAAGGGGAGGCTTAGGAAAGCAAGTTCTTACTGGTGACAGACCTATAGTAAGTGGAAGAGTGCATCCTGCAGCATATAGGGCATGAAAATTTGAAATGAGTGGAGCTAGGTGTATATGAGCATTAGTACACATCTACTGTGTTCAGCTGTCATTTTTCTGGGGAGGATGGTGGAGTGGTGTGTGCTTCCTGCATTCTTCCAGTAAGATTTTCTGCTTTGCTTGTTGCGAGTAACACTTTTTACTAGCAAAAGTTATGTCACCCTTAGGCGTAACTGGTGCCTATGAATGGAAAGATAAGACAGCAGCACTATTTCCCCCTTCTCTTTGGGTGGGAGTTTGACATTTTTGCATATTTTCATATCCTTGCTGAAACAAATATATGCCCTTTTACTGCGAATATACATTTCGTGCATGGTAGTTATTCACTTTGGTAGTAATGTTTTTTCACTACTATAATGATTTTATTAATTTAAAATATTTTTCCTTTTACAAAAGCAATTATGTGCATTTTTTAACTGAGGTATTATTTACACTTCTTGACTGGTGCCACTTTTATTTCCAACACCTAAGTTAACTGATTTCAGATTTTACTATCCAAGTCTCAAATGTAGATAAATCAGGCTTCTTATTTTCTGTTTGTTTATACTCTTAAGAATTAAGCAGCAGAACTTAATGCTCCTTGTAGGCAGTACATAAGCAGCACTCTAATGTGCACATCTAAAATGAGATATTATGAATAATAGGTAAAACAATTCTGGGTGGTAAATTAGACTTCTAATTTCCTATCACAGCATTGTGTCTTCTTCAGTCAGTTAAACTGCTAAGATTTTCTTACTTGCTATTTTGTTCTAGGTGAAAAACCAGAGGGAGTTGATTCAGATATGCCCAAAATCTATGAACCTGTTCACTCCTTTCATCAGCTACGAGATCGTTTAAATATGTTTTTACAAGTGTACAATGAGAAAGTCCGTGGCACCGGAATGGACATGGTTTTCTTTGAGGATGCTATGATTCATTTAGTGAAGGTAGAGTCTTACTAGGTTGCCACTTTTTGTTCTTGTTATTTTTTCCCTTTTCCTGGGTAGGTATGAATTGGATTATGTTTACAAATCAGTGGAGAAGTGTGCAAATTGAGCTATGTTCCTTTAAAATTGAAGCATGCCATTTTCTCTAACAAATGTCCTGTCTTTCACCCTGTGACCAATTATAGAATAAAACTTTTCTGAAAATCCACTAAGTATGGCCTATTCCTTTACATATCACCATGAGTAGGGTCACGTTCCTAAGTATTCTGACCCTTTCTTGACATTTCTTCCTGTTAATTCTTCTGAGAGCCTTTCTTCTCTTTGGAATGAGCGGAATGAAATTCAGGTTTGGGCATAATTGGTTGCTGATGAAGGTGTAGGCAGCGCTGAAGAGGAATAAATGTAGTCTAGACTTCCTTTGTAGAGACACGGTATGATCATTTCTTTTGAACTATGGAGTGGACCATGATTCTTATCACAGCTCAGCTTGGTAGGATTGTCTGCACAGAAAAGACTTCTTGCAAAGGAGAAATTTCTTTGTTAAACTAAAAAAATACATTATTTCTAAGTTGCACAAGAAGGTCATCTTTATTATAAATTCTTAAGATCTATAGAAGGGTTATGGAATATTGGACTATTTTACCCTAACAAATGTTATAATAAGTGTGAGAATAGTGTGAATTGAATTATAGTTGGCAAACATATAGTCCCTGCAGTTTTCAAAATTTTGTGATGAATTCTTGTCAATTGAAAAATTGGGCACTTTGTTGTAAGGTCTTCCCCGCAAAGTGGATGATGATCTGCTCTGGAATTCTCAAGGAAAAATGTTAAGTCACCATAACACTCACTACCAAATTTCTAGTTTATTTCTTGTTAAAATCTAAAAAATGCAGAATCTAGCCAAAATCTTATTTTGCTAGTATTAGAGTCAGCAGTATGTAAGGAATCTCTTCCCTGGGTAGTCTACCCTGGTGGACTCCTGAAACAATAGCTTAACCTGCCATTGGGTTAAGTGAGTAGATACTGCTTCCATGATCCCCTATTCTTGAAATCAGCATTTGCAGCTGTCAGTTGTCTTAGCTATATGCCTGTGCTAGACCTGAGGCACATTCCAGGAGAAAACTAGCTAAGCACAGTGAGGATAGTGCTTAATTTGAACTAAGGTAACATTGCTTGAATGAATTGAGGATGAGGATATACCAGCGAGCAAAACTTTTGATTTATGCTATGAGGCTCTGCATGAGAAAGATCTTGCAGCCACAGTTGAAGTGATCAGCAGTATTCTGAAGGTGGTATGCAAAACTATTTTTCTTCCTCAGGTTGATTTGAGTGTGCTTAGATTAAACCTTTCCGCTCAAGTTTAATTTTGCTTGTAAAGCATTTAGCTGTGAAAATACTAACTACGCTGTGTTCGATAGTTGGATATGCATCTTTAAATCCCCAGGAAATTAATATGCCTGTGTTTAATAACTTCAAAATTTGGAGTAAATGAATAGTTGCTGCATGTAGTTCACAGAGCTGAAAGTTTTCTTGTTCTACATTGCTTGGTTATCTTCATTGTGCTGATCCAGGATGGAAGGGAAATATAGCATGTGGCCTTTTGCTTTATAAGCTAAATAGTAAAATGGGAAAAAAAAAGGGAGATCTGTCTGGGAGATCTTCTACTGTGGTCAGATATCTGCATGGGTATGGTGTTTCTTTACAGTCAAGTAAATTAAATGTTTAAGAAGGATAATTATAAAGGCCATATTATAACTTATTGAAGAGTATTCTGGGGTTTGTTTCTCGTGAGTTTAATAATCCTGGGAGAATTTGTCTTTCTAAGCAGTATGTGAAGGGTAACTGATGAGGCATACCTAAGGAAATTTTCCGCCCGGTTTTTAGTTAATCTCTCCTACTCTGATTGTAACAGTTGAGATTTACCTGTGTCTTTTTGGAATTGGGAGAATCTGTTCAACTGTACTGATAATAGGAAGGTCACATGGAATTGAGTTGTTGCTATAGTATTGGGAGGTTAACAGGAAGTACTGGAAAGTGCAAATGTTTTTAGAATGTTTGCCGAGTTATAAAGAATTCTTGAATTTGAATTTAAAGGTTCAATTTGTTTTGCACTTCTGTTTTATCATCACATTTGCGTACTATTTTGGGGCATGTAACTTTTAAACATTTTAGCAATAAAAGGCTGTGTTGTTATACAGATTTCTCGGGTGATCCGCACTCCTGGTGGAAATGCTCTTTTAGTTGGAGTTGGTGGTTCAGGAAAGCAGAGCTTAACCAGACTGGCATCTTTCATAGCTGGCTATGATACATTCCAGATCACATTAACAAGGTGAGCATTAACTAATTAAATATTAATTAAATATTGCTCTTTCCATAACTAACACTGGTAGATACTGCTGCTGGCTTTTCTTTAATCCCATTACATTATCAAAAGAGGAACTAAATCTATTGAAACTATTTTAAAATTAAACTTAATGTTTTCCTAACTAAAATATAAAGTTGAAAGATCTAGCTTATAAAACTTTGTCCTCAGATACCTCTGGGAAAGTATAAATACTCCTTGGATGCTATCATTTGTCCTTTATTAATCCAATGTCTCTTATTCACCTGCCTTAGGACGTTAATTTTGGATTTTTATATGGTTTCATTTAGTTCCTCAAAACACATGGTAGTTGTATTGCTGACTTAATATGTTTAAAGTATTTTTAATCAATGTTTCTATTAAATTTTTGAGAATTTACTGAACATCCCTTCCACAGAAGTAAGAACAAAAAAATTGAAAATTTCTGTCTTCTCTGCGTGCCTGTTTCTGGTTTTAGTGATGTCTTTACCATGATGATATTTTGTTTACAATGTAATTATGGAACCTTATCTTATTGACTTTGAGATAAATAAATACACACACACACATATATAATGAAATGCAAAAGATTCTCCTCTTAATCATCAAGAATAAAAAAGCCAAACCCTAATGTTTATTTCCTGTTATTTCCTTTTTTTTTTTTTTTCAGGTTAGGCATGAAATCATTATGGTTGCATTAGAAAGTCTTATCAGAGTTGCATGCAACTTCTTTGTTTTAATTCTTAATTCTAAACCAATAATTTCTTCTTAATTCTTCATGAGCATCCTAGAAACTTCTGCTTTTATTACCCATAGAGATCTTTGCTTGTAATCTTACCTAAACATTTTTGTTGTTGTTTTGCCTCCTTCCTTTTCTTGAAACTATGAATCCTATCATTAGCAATGACTTTTTACGAAAACGACCATCTACCTTGAGCTTCTCAAATAGTCAGTGAAGTCTAATGTACCTGATCACATTGTCCCCAACATGTGACCAAATCATGAGACAACCTCCATCTATCTTTGCTCATTTTCTAGCCAAAGAGAGAAAAGGAGCATGATACAACTTCCATTTGAGAATTTTTTTTTGAAGGGGTTTTGATGTGAAAGGGAAAAAGTGAGCAGCAAGAAGAATGGATTAGGTGTTTAATAGGACACGTTGATACGAGTATGTTTCTCTCGCTGATCTAAATTAAAAATTCTGCATAGTCTGCATCACTTTGCTTTAAATTGAAATACAATGTTTCCTGCTTAAGTTTGCTGTTGCATTTGCTTTAAACCAGAAGCCTTTTTTTTTAAATTATGACTATTAATAGGACTGTGCTTTTTGTAGATCATACAATACTTCAAACCTGATGGAAGATCTAAAGCTCTTGTACAGAATAGCAGGACAGCGAGGGAAAGGCATATGTTTTCTTTTTACAGACAATGAGATCAAAGATGAGTCTTTCTTGGAATACCTGAATAACGTTTTATCATCAGGAGAGGTAGGATACTTTATCATGATAGTTTTTCTGCTTTTTAGCTTTTATAATTAGCTAGTAAAATAACTGTTCATAACTATTCTTTTATGTGTCAAGGGCACATTTTTACAAGCTAAATCTCAAGTATATCTACAAAATTAGAGTATTGTTAAAAATATAAATAAAGTGTACTGTGTATAGACAGTGGCAGAACTACTTTAAAATCTATAATGAGCATCACCATTCCATGCAGAGAAGTTGTCCGAGTTGGATCCTTTTAAATATGTTGACAAACTACCAGGAAAATAATAATAGCTTTTTTTTTAATGTTAAATTTAGTGAGTATTATCTATGTTTGAAAAATATATATATGTTAGATTAAAAACTTCATCAATATTCAATCAGTTTTTGTATAGTAAATTTGTGTCCAGAATGGTTGCCTACTTTTATAGCAAGGTAGATTTCAGTGTGTTTAATTGAGTCACTCCAGTAAAATTTCTTGTTTAAAGTTGTGGTATGGGTCCTAATTTCAATATCTGAAATGTTTGCTCCTTCCTGAAATGCTGTATATTAAATTCACCCCATGCTGTGAACTCTATTTTGGATACCTCCTAAAGCATGGAAATAATAGTCTTTTATTTTTATTTTTTTCTCAAAGGTCTCAAACTTATTTGCGCGGGATGAAATAGATGAGATCACTAGTGATCTCATACCTGCCTTCAAAAAGGCACATCCACGTAGACCTCCAACCAGCGAGTGTCTGTATGACTTCTTCATGGCCAGAGTCCGTCAGAACCTTCACGTGGTGCTTTGCTTTTCTCCAGTGGGTGAAAAGTTCCGGAATAGAGCCTTGAAGTTCCCTGCTCTCATTTCTGGGTGCACCATAGATTGGTTCAGCCTGTGGCCTAAGGATGCTCTGGTGGCAGGTAGGTCTTTGTCTTGGCAGATACTTGATTCTGTGATGAACAGTCAGGAAGTTGGAGTTTCTTGAACTGCCTTCAAATGAAAGAAAAACATCAAAAATAATTTGAGGAAAAACTCCTCTGATGCATACGGTGTTGATAGAGAAAATACACTAAGGAAAGTGGTTATTATTGCACCTGCAATAAAGTTAATGCAGCGTTCCACAATCCTTTTACCTATTCTGATATTTTACCCTATAAAACCTTTTCCTGTAAATTCAATTCCTGTCATATTAAGGGCATAAGCTGGCCGTTTACTGCAGAACCCATCAAAGTACTTCTGAAGCAATTTTTAAAACAGTATGTAGTTTAAAAGGAACTTTTATCTATAAGGATTTGTTCATATCATCTGCAACAGATGTCAGAGTTACAGATGTTCATAAAAGATAAATAAAATGAAAATTATACATGGCCATCCTGCACAAAACGTATACCTTGTTCATGCAATGTGAAATATGCATCTCCCATGTAACAGCTGTCAATATCTGGTAGATAATTACTATTTATATGCTAAATTATTTCTATAGAAGATTGTGCATCTGTCTTGGAAGATGTATTTCAGATTGCAAAAGATATGTATATTATATATATATATATAGAAGGCTTTCATAGGTTTTCTCTTCTCTGCAGCTACTGCCTGTTGTAATCAATAACTTCTTTTCAAAGCCTAAACGCTGCACAGTGAAATCTTAAGAATAAAATGCTGTTTAAAGTTCAGCCACATATCAAGCCTAATATGTAGGTATAAGTGATGGAGAGATCAATGGCAGAGATCAATCAATGGATCAATTACAGAGAATTTTTTTTTATGAATATTTGCATACATTTGTTTTCTTTCTTTTTTCCTTAGTATCTGAACATTTCCTGTCTTCATATGATATGGACTGCACTGCTGAGATAAAGAGGGAAATAGTGCAGTGTATGGGCTCATTCCAGGATGGAGTTGCAGAGAAGTGTTCTGATTACTTCCAGAGATACAGACGTTCCACACATGTGACCCCCAAATCCTACCTGTCCTTTATTCAAGGATATAAAATTACATATAAGGAAAAGCATGCGGAAGTTCAGATGTTAGCCAACAGGTAAAATGCTCAACCTACTACTAGCTTCCTATAGTTTTTTTCCCAAGCTAGCTATGATACTTTTTATCAACACTTGACTTGTCTTTGCACAGCAGCAGTTTCCTTTGGAGTTTCCCTATGGGGCTAAAATGGTGTAAAGGTTATAGTCTGATCAAAAATTGTTGATTTTTGGTCTTCGTTGCTCTAGGCATATATTTTTAAAAATATATAATTTTCGAGGGGAAATATAGTGGTGATATATGAAAGAGAAAAATGTTAAATAATGTGAATATACATTATTTCCGTATATATTTAACAAACAGAAGAACAGAACTATGCTATGATAATATGTTCAAAATTGCATTTAATTTACCAAGGAGCAACCTTTGTTTCCTTGCTAAACAATACTGTCCTCATATGAACATGCAAGTGTTACCCATGGCATTTTTTGCCTTTGTGTCCAGAGAGCCTAATTTAGTCCGCTGAACTTTTTATAAGAATTAATAAAGTGGTTTTGATATTTTCAGTTTCCTTTTTTGATATTTTGCTAAACTAATTAAATATGTTTTCTTATTTAACTTCGTGTCAGAATTACTTAAGTAGAACATAAAATTAGTCTCCAGGGATTACAATCTTGATTTTAGAAAAGTGGCATTTGGAACTGGGAGCTTTTACAGAAGACTGAGACTAGTTTATTTCCCTTGAAATATTCTCTATCTTCAATGCCAAATTTAATAACCAATCTGTAGTTATGTTATGGGTAAAAACTTGAAAAACAAGGAGGTTCCATCTAGTCTTCTGCCTTCTGACTTCTCAGATGTGCCTAATTTCGCATCCATCCAGATGCACATACATCTGTTTCATTAACCTTAGTCGCAGAGTCTGGGCAGCTTTGGTAGGTGTTACTCTCTGCCTGTACTTCCGTATTTAGCTGTTCCAGTACTACTTAGTCTTTGCAATAACAGCCTCTTTTGATCTTCCTGTGTCTCCTCTGTGAGGCGTATCTTTTCCTAATTTACATTTCACTTAAATTTGTCTGAAGCATCTGTGCTGAGATTATGATACTTCAGTAGACAGAAAAGACTGTTTAAGAGACAGTCTTTTAATGCTGGATGACAAAAGCATAAATAATCTCAATGCTATTTTGCTTTGACTCTCTTGGTTGATTACTACTTGATGTTATTATCTTTCAATATCCTCTTCAAATAACTGATAGTGGTTTGGAATGTATCTATGGATTCTGGTGATCAGAAGTGCTTTCTGTGGTGTAAAACTTAGTCTCAAATGCTCAGAATATCAGGCAGGAACTCAAAAGGGACTGTGACATATATGGAACCAAACTATATAACATTAATAAAATAATGAAGACATACTCTTTAAGCTAGAAATAAGGAATACTTCAAGCCATACAGTCTTTTTTACGTAATTCTTTATTGTTTGCTTCCCTAGTTATGATAACGACAGAAGCTTTCTGTATAAATTTATTTTTTTGATATAAAACATCTTTTGATACCATGAATGGAATAATCTGCAATGGCAGGTGTAAATTACATAGGGAATTGCATGCTTTTTGCTTTGTATTTTAACTCCAGAATGAATACTGGACTGGAAAAATTGAAAGAGGCCTCTGAGTCAGTGGCTGCTCTAAGCAGAGAGCTGGAGGTAAAAGAAAAGGAACTTCAAGTTGCCAATGAAAAAGCTGACATGGTATGTGTAGTCTTCAAAGTGTATTGCTCTCTAATTCTGTGCTTTTTATTTTTTATTTTGCAAAAGAGTAAATGAACAAAACAAAGTTAAGCATGGGAAAAAAGGATCTGTAAAATGTATAGTGGTAAAAGCCATTTCTGTGGCTTCTGTGAAAACCATTTTGTTCAAATATTCTGGTTTTGGAACTTGAATTCAACAAATGAAATTTTACAACAGAAATTAATACATTCTGTATACATTAATACATTCTACGTATTTTCTTTAATATTTGGTGTGTGGGTTCTCCCATATTTCAGGTATTGAAAGAAGTTACTGTAAAAGCACAGGCTGCTGAAAAGGTGAAAGGTGAAGTTCAGAAAGTGAAAGACAAAGCCCAAGCTATTGTGGATAGCATCTCTATTGACAAAGCCATTGCTGAAGAAAAGTTGGAAGCTGCTAAGCCTGCTTTGGAAGAGGCAGAAGCAGCTTTACAGGTTAGTATTAAAATCCTGGGCTGACAATAGCATTTTTACTGGAAAATAGAAGGGTTTCTTGAAAAACAAATATAAAACAGCAAGTACACCATCATTTTGTCAGTTGACAAAAGAAGTGTTTGTATATGTATTTCACCTTTTTACATTCTGTTTTGGTTTTCTTTTTTCTTCCTGAATACCAAGCTCAATAGGCAATTGATTTTGCAGCAGGGAGAAGGCTTTACCTTTACAGGAAATTGTGATATACTTTATACTGCAGGTTGCTATTACACTGATGGCAGAAATCTTGCTACTGTTAGGAAGCATAGCATGAGTGCAATGAATGAGGCCATTAGTGCCTTCCCTATGAAAACATTGCATCCAAATATAAATCTCCTGTTTTGTTTTAAGCTTTCCCAAGAGAATTTCGTTTTGGCTGTATTTGCTCATCTACCTTTTCTGCCTTCTCCAGGAAAATTTTTCCTGGTTTCTGAGGTGTTTTGTTTCTCAAATTTACCATGAGTCTTTTTGTCAGCCTTTTCTTTCTGTGAAGCTTTTCGAATAGAGTGATACCACTCTACTGAGATCTTTACATGACGCATCATTTGTGATGGAAAAAAAATCTGTTGATCTTTATGTATTTTCATGTCTGTTTGTTTGACTAAGAGATAATGTCTCACAAGCTATTTTGATTACATAGCAATAGAGAGTGCTGAAGCAACTCAAACACTGTAGATAGGCAGAGAACTGGCATGTCAAGAAACAAACAGAAATGCTTTCATTTCCTGAAATTCCTGAAAGAGAGATGAATAAACCTCAAAGTTTGTAAGTTCGTGTTTGAGAAAAGTCAAACTGTGAGATACCTTCCTGTTCTCTCAGAAATCAGGAAGAATTTTTTTTTCATTCTAATATATCTTTCTTTACAATTGTCCATGCTACTTCAAATGAGAAGCCTACCTGCTGTTTTGCCTTGCAGGATTGCTATTCCTAAAAGGACTAGTAACATGAGGGGCCTAAAACTGTGTTTTGAGTCTCTCATAGAATAAGACAGGCTAGATATTCACAGCAGGACAATCACCTTCCAAGAACACCTTGCTATTGTGTCAGGGTTATACTAAAATTGCAGGCTTAAAATCCAGAATCCCTTTACTTGAACACTTTGCTTCGGTGGCATGGGCAGGGTAATAACTGAGTCATAATTCATCATTGTAGCCCATTGGAGGCAATCAATTGTTATGTAGATTTATTGGAAGATCATATTTTCCAGCAGTAGTGATGGTTGAAGCATTTGTGACTATTCAAAATATCTGTGGCCTTTGAAATCAAAGGCTTCAAAATCAAATATAAAAAAGTTTTTCTGGGAATGCGGGGTAAGGGCCTCCCGTGTTAGAGAGAAGTCCTTAACACTCACTGACCACCTTAATTCTTGAAGAACAGAATGAAAATATTTGAATGAGGGTTGATGACATGATACCCAGTGAGATTAGAAAGAGAGTTAGTTTGGATTATACAATTGCAATACTTAGTTACAAACAAGATTAAAAAAACTCAAACAAGAAGCTCAAAAAAGTAAAAAAATAACAATAGTAATTGACCAAATTCTTAGGTATAATAAGAGCACTGGTGTCCTGTTCTACATTTTTATTGCATTTTCTCTGGATTTGACTAAAGATACCAAACCAAAATAATACTCCTCTTCTTGAATTTTTGCATACTAATTCATAAAAACCTGCCTAATACACAAAAAGCTGGAAAATCATTTTTGTGAGACTTCACAGTGAAGAAAGTTTGTTTAATTTAATCTTAAAATCTTTGCATTTGTTATGATAAATTGTTTACATACTCCCCAAAGGAAGAACTTGTCATAAAGTGAGCTGATCAGCGTAAGTAGCTATAGTGTCACAATTAATTAATTCAGAAACTCACTTAAAAAATTCTCTGTACAAGTTTGTGTAGGGCTGCATCTTTCATGAAATGAACTGCACAGATTATAGGCTGCAATCATTATTTTACACTAGGAATTCCTTTAATGTAGTTCTTCTTGAAATGTACACAAGTATCTATTTAAATATTTTGATAAATATAAAGGCCACTTCCCTTCTGAAAAAAAAATCCCTAGTTTGTTACTCCAGTACTCCATACTTTTGCATATTCTGGGATTGTCCATGTTCTTTAACATAACTGTCAGAAAAAAAGTTTTAAAATACTTTTTCACGTATATCAAGATTAAATACTTTTTGTGTAAGTATGAATTGTCAAAATCTAGTAAAACTTAGTTGTTCTTTCCCCTTAGTTGTTCTTTTCTTCCCAAAAGAAGTAGTATTTTCCGTATATAAGTGGAAGTTAAAAATAAAACAAAGCAAAACAAATAAACAAAACTATCAACAACATATTAAATGTAGCTGTTCTGTCAAAACTTGGATGGTGGCAAAAAGGGCCAGTTGAATTATGTAAATGTCAATAAGAAGCACTAGTTCAAGCTCTCACAGAGATAATCTGCA